CCCCTCCACTCTTCAACTGGATCTTGGGAGCTCAGTCCAGTGCTCCGATGTGGGTCATTGCCTCTGTTCTGTTGTTGGACGAAGGTTCTATGGTAATATAGTCGAGATGGAGGAAAGACAGATGTAAGCGCAAGGAGAGATCTTGATTGAGGAAGCAATTATGGAGTTAGCAAGAATCCAGGCTCTAGAAAAATGCCCAAGAACCCACAGGGATGAGCCCAGCTAAGACCCTAAGCAATAGAGGAGATGGTGTCTGAACAGAGCAAATGTTTCAAATGGAAGTGAGAAAACCGTTAAGAGTAAAAGAGGCTTCATAGGAGGAGTGCTCCACTTACTTCATCCCCAGTCTTTCTGTCTGTTCTTATGATCATTAACTGGCTTTTGTTTGAAGACACATTCTCTCTGCTACCTTATTTTTAGGTTCTGGGAATTGAACCTAGGGCCTCACACATAATGGGCAAATGCCATACCATAAAGCTATATTTTAAAATTTTTGTTTACTACTGTGTGTATATGATATGGGAGGTGGGACAAACATGTTATGGAGCCCATTCTCTCCTTCCCTGTGTACATGGGGTCTTTGGACTGGACTCAGGTAGTCAGCTTGCATGGCAAGAACTTTTACTTTTACCTGCAAAACCATCTCACTAGCCTTTTTTTCATTTTGAGACTGAGGTTTGCTAAATTTTGAAGGCTGACCTTAACTTCACTCTAGCTCAGACAGAACTTGGATTTGTGATCAATCCCCCAGCTTTGCCTACCCCTCCACCCCAACTCCCCATGAAATAACTGAAATCTCAAGTGTGTGCTGCTAGGCCTGGCATGTGATGTTGTAAAATATATTTTAATGTATTAGGAATTTTCATACATGTATACAGTGTATTTTAATTGCCCTGCTTCTTCCCTTCTCAACCTTGTCCCTATACCACCTCCCAACCTGTCTTTTTAAAACTGTTTTGACTTCAATTTCAGATGCTTCCACTTGATAGTCATTACAATCTTTTTTTTTTTTTTTGGTTTTTCGAGACAGGGTTTTTCTGTAGCTTTGGTGCCTGTCCCGGAACTAGCTCTTGTAGACCAGGCTGGCCTCGAACTCCCAGAGATCCTCCTGCCTCTGCTTCCCAAGTGCTGGGATTAAAGGCGTGTGCTACCACCGCCCGGCCTTAGTCATTACAATCTTAAGCCATGGTTTAGGGGCAGAAACCTTAATATATTTTATTTTATTTATTTTTTAGTTTTTGGAGGCAGGGTTTCTCTGTAGCTTTGGAGCCTGTCCTGGCACTAGCTCTTGTAGACCAGGCTGGCCTAGAACTCACAGAAATCCGCCTGCCTCTGCCTCCCGAGTGCTGGGATTAAAGGCGTGCGCCACCACCGCCCGGCATAATATATTTTATTTATATGTATAAACCTTTATTTTCGCTGGGCGGTAGTGGTGCACGCCTTTAATCCCAGCACTCAAGGCAGAGGCAGGCGGATCTCTGAGTTCAAGGCCAGCCTGGTCTACAAGGGCTAGTTCCAGGACAGGAACCAAAAAGCTACGGAGAAACCCTGTCTTGAAAATCAAAAAAGAAAAAAACCCAAAAACAAAACAAAACAAAAAAACAAATAAACCTTTATTTTCCTACAGGAGGAGTGACAGGCGTAGTGTTGCATACCAAAAATTCCAGCACTTGGGAAGTGGAGGTGGGAGGCTCAGGAGTTTGAGACCAGCCTGGGCTATATGAGACCCTGTCTCAAATGGAAGTCAGCTATGGGTTGTTTGGGATTTTTGTTGTTGTTGCTGCGGTTGTTGTGTGTGTATTGTGTTTTGTCTTTTTGTTGCTGTTAGATTGTTTTGAAATAGCATCCCTACATAGGTCATAGCATCCCTACATAGGTCATATAGGTCCCTACTTGCTGTATAGTCCAGCCTGGCCTCAAAATTGCCTTCTGCTTCCTCCTGAGAGCTGGAACTATAGGTATGTGCCACCATGGCCCAGTTTATTTTCAAAACAGCTAAGCTTGTTTTTTTTTTTTTGTTTTTTGTTTTTTTGGGTTTTTTTTTTTGTTTTTGTTTTTAATGTTTGGAGGACTGGAGGAGTTGAGACAGGGTTTCTGTGTCACCCTGGCTCTCCTGGAACTCTTCTGTAGACCAGGCTAACCTCAAACTACATGCTGGGACTAAAGGCCTGCAGCATCACTGCCCAGCAGGCTCATTTTGTTTTTTTTTTTTTTTTAAACACAGGGTCTTTGGTGACCAGGAGCTCAAACTATGTAGATCAGGCTAGACTGCCTGCCCTTGCCTCCTGAATGCTGAGGTAACAGGTGTACACCACCAGCCTAAGACTGCAGTTCTGTTATCTGCATTACCATTGGACTTCACAGACCATGAGTGTCACTAATCTATCCTTCCTAAAACACTGTTCAGGTCCATGCGCCCTGGGGAGCTGTGTGGTAACAGAATTATCTGAAGGACCAGCATGTGGAAGGGACAGAACTTTCTGTAAGACTGGCCCAAAAGCCCAAAAAAGGAAGACCCTTGCCTTCCTTCTAAGTGGTCACTGTATAGCTCTTTCCTGCCTCGTTTCCCTTAGTGTGTGGTGTTTGTATGTGTGTGCATGAAGTGTGGAGGCAGTGATCTTTCCATCTCATGTACAGCCTTGTAAGGTAGAGTCTCATAAAGCCTGGCACTCACCACGTAGCCTGGCTGGCGGCTGGCTAGTGAGCTTCTCCTGTACACTCACACACATGCCAGTGCTGCTGCTTCTGTAGGGAAGTGTTTGGTGCTGGTGTAGCTTGCTTGAGCTAATTTCCTTTTTTAAAAAAAAAATTATTTGGTTTTTTAAATTAACCAGTTAATTTATTTTTATGTGAATTGTTTTGCTGTCTGTATTTATGTCTGTATGAAGGTGTCAGGTTCCCTGGAAGTGAAGTTACAAGTAGGTGTGAGCTGCCATTTGGGTGCTTGTTGGGGACTGCGGACCACCAGACCCTGAATTTCTTGTAAACACTTGTTTTCCTCTGCTCTGAGCTGTCTGCAGCTGCTCTTAGCATGAGACCCGGATGGCAGGCTGGTGGGTCTGCAGCTGAAAGATCCTGAGAGCTGGGGCGTGGCCAGAGCCCAATATAAGCTGCCCCTGAGCACAATAAGTGGGCATTCTTGGCACTCTTGTCTCAAGGATGTCCCTGTGGCCTCATCTCTCTGTCTATGTCTATATGTGTAGGTTTTTAAATTTTCAGCCTAGTTCCCATAGTGCGTAGCAAGTAGAGCGTGGAACGGAACCGGTGTAGTTTTACAAAGGGAAGCCCTCAACGAGATGGCTCTCAGGAATGGTGAGGGTGGATCAAAGATGGGTATGTGTGTTATGTGTGTTTTGAGTAAGTCTTTAAAGAGATAGAGTATAGACAGATTATGAGACACGAAAGGAAGGAATATGCACAGAGAACTGCTAAAAAAGGTATCTTGACTTTAAATATGGGTCTAAGGATATGTTTTGGAAAAGAGGTTCTGCTTTTATTTCCACAGAAGATGAGAGCCTGTGGAATCATTCAAGGCTAATGTGGTTTGACTCACCAAGACCCCCAGAAATGTCACTGGGAAAACCCCCAAAGATACAGTACCCCCAATCAGCAGGAAGTAGTCTAGAGAACGATGCCCAAATTCCCTAAATAATTGTTTACTGGAGGAAGTGGGGCTCAGGAACCTGTCCACCATTGTGGGCCCAAGGAGCAGGAGGAGCTCGGGCCCCTTCTGCGATTCCCAAGTGTGAGCCTGCTTCCCAGAGTCCCCGCAAGCAGAGAGGCAGCTGTTCAGACCCTGCTGGGCTGCCTGAGAAGAAGGTTGTGGTTCCCAGCTCTGCATGCCCAGGAGTTTGTGGCGGGATTGAGCATGCCTCCCAGCAGTGCAAGACATGTTGCTCCAGCCAAGTTGGTGCCTGACCTGGTGGAGCCATCCTGGCTGAGACTTTGGGACAGTGACTATGTTCGCTACGGCATTTCCAATTAATTGTTATCATATTTGTTCCACGCCCATAATTATATAGAAAAGAGGGATGTGTTGGGGACTGTGGACCACCAGACCCTGAATTTCTTGTAATCAACTTGTTTTCCTCTGCTCTGAGCAGTCTGCAGCTGCTCTTAGCATGAGACCCGGATGGCAGGCTGGTGGGTCTGCAGCTGAAAGATCCCGAGAGCTGGGGCATGGCTAGAGCCCAATATAAGCTGCCCCTGAGCACAATAAAGTGGGCATTCTTGGCACTGTTGTATCAAGGATGACCTGTGTCCCCTTGTCTCTGTCTTTGTACATGTGTTTTTAAGTCTTCAGCTTAGTTCCTGGCTTGCGTACAGTCCCATAGTGCAGGCGCTACAGGTGCTGGGAATTAAACCTGGGTCCTCTGGAAGAGCAACCAGTACTCTTAATAACCACTGAGACATCTCCAGCCCCCATTTGTTTTTGATTTTGGTTTTGATTGTGTGTGTGATTTTGCTGGGGAGGGGGCTTGTGTTTTGAGGCAATCTTATTTGACTCAGACTGGCCTGAACTCTATATAGCCCAGGCTAGCTTTGAACTTATAGCAGTCCTCCTTCTTCAGCCCTTTGCATGTCTTTGTTTTTTTCATTGGAAAGGCACTAAATCAGGGTGACTTGGATTATAATACTTGTAATTAACAGTTTTTCTTTTCCTGAAAAACTCAATATATCAGTGATCTGAAGTTCAGAAATAATGGCATTTGCTAAATTTTTAGTGACTAAAACTTGGTGTGGTGGACATGTTTGTGATCACAGCACTTGGGAGACTGAGCTAAGAGGCTTGCTACAAATTCAAGGCTAGCTTAGGCTATATAGTTTAAGGCTAGCATGGGCTACATAGTGAATTCAAGGTCTACCTTGGCTATGTAGTGAGAACTTCTCTCAAAAACAGAGTCCCAGAGAGTCTTGACATGTGTAGGCAATCTTCGCATCTCCTGCGTGAGTACCCATCTGAAAATCTGGCTGACCTGCCTCTTCTGCCTGTATGTTAGGTTCCAGAGCACCGTGCAGGTGAGCAAGCTGCAAGACCTCATCCACCGCAGCAAGATGGCCAGGTGCAGAGGACGGTTTGTCTGCCCAGTGATCCTGTTCAAAGGCAAGGTAAGGCCCACCCGTAGCCTCATTTGCTGTCCCCTGTCTTTGGGTTACTGACTTCATGTAAAATTGTAACTCCTTTTTCTTTTCTAGCAGCCAAAGGCAGGATAGCTGGTTGTTGGACACCTGGCACTGTGGGAAACAGGCCGGAGAAATAGACCATTCCCAACTGAAAGAGATTTTCAGATAGGGAAGGGATGAAACACCAGAGCCTTCCTACCTCCCTAACCCATGCTATAGAGATAGACTAAGTCAGGTCCTGGCATTTTGCCTGCATGTGGCCTCAGTTTATTCCACAAGCCTATATCATTGGTTTACAGAGTACATTAAATCGGATAATATTATGCTGTTTGTTCCTTTTTTCAGTCCCGTGATTAGCCAGGTATTATTGAATGTGTACTTTGTGCCAGGCAGTATCTCAGAACTTGAAATATGTCATCCTGTAAAGGAGACAAAAGTCCCAATCCTTGCAGTTCATGTGCTCAACAGGACTGTTAGAGTAGCTCCATAATGTGGTTTCATTTACCTGTCTTACTGTCTGTTGGTTCAGAGTGGCAAACAACTTGATCAAGTTTACACAGCGAGAGAACTAGATTTGAGTCAGGCATGGCAGTGCACACTTGTAATCCCGATACCTGGAAGGTAGAGGCAAGAGAATCAAGGAGTTTAGGGACAGTCTGGGCTCCATAAGTCCTTGTGTCTTACACAGAAGAATGAGAAATACATTTATCCTGACTTCTGACGTGGACTTGTGAATGCATCAGTACGGGGGCATTGACATAATTTCGGCTCTAAACTGAAACGAAGACCTGGGTGGAGCTTTGTCATTTGGGAAACACCAAGCAATTCCTGATTTTCTGTTTTTTAAAGTCAGGGTTTTGTTTAGTAGCCCGGGCTCTCCTTTAAACTGATAGCATTCTTTCTGCCTCACCCTCCCTGAGTCTAGGATACCCTTTAAGCTAAGCTTCCATCAGAGTTCATCTCCTGCCTCCTCCCCATGACCATTCTTAGCCTCATGCCTTATGAATGTGGGAAGTTGAAATTCTTCAATAGTTAAGACTTTTCAGACCTAGCCTATTAAGGGATTGTGAAAATACTAGCAAGTAAATTCCCTCGACTTGTCAGGTCTATGAAGCAAGGGGGAAGAAAATTAAGGCCGTCCTGCTACTTCAGCCTCCTAAGTGTAAGGATTACAGACCCTGGTAGACATTATTTAATGTCTAAGAATGTGGGGCCTGTGTGCACACACATGCTTGGAAGCTAAGGGTCAAGACTGGGTGTCATTCTCTCAATCCCTGTCACCTTACTTTTGAGCCAATCTCTCTCATGAACCTGGAGTAGCCCCATTCAGTGGTGCTTCCTAACCAGTCAGCTCTACCCTTGTGCTGCTGTCTCTGCTTTCTAGCTCTAGGATTATATGTGTGTACTGCCACGCCTGGCTTTTTATGTGGGTGTTGGTGACCCAAACACAAGCTCTCATGGTTGCATAACAAGTGTTTTACCAACTAATTTTACTTTGAGACAGGATCTCACTTTGTAGCTTAGACTGACCTTAACCCTCCCGCCCCCATCCTCCAGTATCCAACTCCAAAGGTGGAAATTCCTAAAGATTTCAAGCCTGTGTTGCCATACCCAACAGTTGGCAGTTTAATCTGAATTTTGGATGCTTTTAGACCCAGGAAGTGTTAGGTAGCCCCCACCATAGTTCATTCTGCTTAGACCAGCAGGAAATTCAGCCCTAGCCATTCTCCATGGGCTTCTGGAACAGAGACTACAAGCAGAGACTGGCAAATAAAAATGCTACCCTGGAAGCAATAGTGGTCTCTTGACGGGGTCCCAAGAGACACAGGGAAGCAGATAATGCAGACAGGCCACATTTCCAGGAATGCACCCAGCTTGCCCCAGATGATACCCAGCTACTTACATTTTGCCTGCTCTCACCGCCAGCAAGAGCCAGACAGTTGACCTAGTCTGCACCCATTTCATGCAACAGCCAACTGTTTACTTCTTTTACCTTATGTGAGGACCCTACAGTAGACAGTATTTTGTAGTCTTTCAGAAATCTACTTTATACTTCCAGATTGTGTCACACATTCAGAAACGAACTTTAATTGCCCTGTCATCTTACATTTTCCCTTTTCTCTTAATGCGGTGGGGGTAGTTCTCCTAGCCTTCCGTCAGACTAGATTGGCTGGCTTCTGTGTCACTCAACATCTCCCATTTCCCACCACCCCCGAAACACTACTGGATTTCAACACACTATTTAAAGACATAGTCTTAAATTAAATAATGAAGTTTAAAGGCCAGCAGGATGGCTCAGTGGGTAAAGGTACCCACTATACAAGCCTGGCAATCTAAGTTTGATCTTCAGAACTCACATAAAGGTGGGCGGAGAGAACTAACTAAACAAAGTTGTATACTCTGATGCGCCTGAGTACCGACAAATACATATCATGCAGATGTACAAATACAGTCTTTTAAAAGAAAGATACTATTGCTTGGCTTTTAGAATTCCAACTCTAAAATGATTCCTTCTGTGATGAAAAAAGTAAAAAAAGCAAGGCAGTGGGGTAAATTTAGAGTACTGTCCTAGCATGTACATGGTACTGGCTTCTACTTCTCATAGTCCTTTTAATAGCTACTATGTTGCCTTGGTAATTTGGAGGTTTGTTTTTTGAGGCACTGTCTCTCTAAGTAGCCCTGGCTGTCCCATAGAACTTGGCTATGTAGACCAGGCTTACTCCTTTTTTGTTTTGTTTTATCCTTTTTTTATTTATTAAAAATTTCTACCTCCTCCCATTTCCCTCCCCCTCCCCCGCCCCCCCCTCCTTCTCCAGTCCTAAGAGAAGTCAGGGTTCCCTGCCCTGTGGGAAGTCCAAGGCCCTCCCCCCTCCATCCAGGTCTAGGAAGGTGTGCATCCAAACAGACTAGGATCCCAAAAAGCCAGTACAAGCAGTAGAATCAAATCCCAGTGCCATTATCATTGGCTTCTCAGTCAGCCCCCATTGTCAGCCACATTCAGAGAGTCCGGTTTGATCACATGCTCGTTCAGTCCCAGTCCAGCTGGCCTTGGTGAGCTCCCATTAGACATAGATCAGTCACCAGGTTTACTTTTAATTCATAAAGATCTGTCTGCCTCTGCCTTCTGAGTGTTGGGATTAAAGGCATGAACCACACTGAGCTTCCTTGGAAATTTTTTTTTTTTTTATGATAATCTCATGAACCACAGACTGGCCTCAGAACCACTATGTAACTGGCTGGCCTTAAACTTCTGATGTCACTGCCCTTACTCTTAAGTGCTGAGAACATAGCCACATATCATCAGGATTGTTTTAATAAGTTCATTTTAAAAGTTAAGTTTCCAGGTATTTCTCTTTTAATTATTTCCCTCAGTATAAAAGTTACCCTCTATGCTAAAAAGTTCCAAATTAATAAGTAACAGGCCCTTGGAGGTATGTGAGCTTGGGCCAGTTTTCAACCTGACCCTCACTGTGTATGACTACTATTCACATCCCTTAACCACCCTGGGCCATTATTATGTGTATAGTATTCTGTCTGCATGTATGCCTGCATGCCAGAAGAGGGCACCAGATCTCCTTGCAGATGGTTGTGAGTCACCATGTGGTTGCTGGGAATTGGACTCCCCAGAGGACGCTTCAGCCCTGCCACTTTTCTTCATCCAGGAAATAGTGATTATCCCTGCTGCTTTCCATGTTTGTCTTAATGAGAATTCAGTAAGAAGATGGTGTCACTTGGCAGTATTGTGCCCAGTACCTGGTATATATGGACATTCTTCAAGTCTTACTTATCATTGAAGTAACACTGGTACCTGGAATCTGGAAGAGACCCCTTTGTAGAGTCTGTAGGCTAATAAAAAGTTCTAGGTATCCTTCAAACTGACTGTGATGGTCTCAGTGCTGGTAAGGGGCACTAGGCATTCTTTAAGCTCTGCATGCTTCAGAAACCATCTTACCCAAAAATGCTATTGTCTCCCAGCACATTTGCAGGTCGGCCACCCTGGCTGGATGGGGAGAGCTGTATGGACGCTCTGGATACAACTATTTTTTCTCAGGTGAATATTGAACAGCCTTTTGCGGGTCTAAGACTGGGAACCTAGTGAGAGGGACTAGTCCTGCCACAGGCATGGTGGTGTAAGGAGCAGGTGTGGTGAAGCAGGGTAGAGGCCAGGGCACTCCACTCAGCAGAAACTAGGGATTCACTAGGGATTGTAGTAGTGCAAGCAAACTACTACACAGACGGGCATGGGATTCTGGTGGAGATAGGAGGGCTGAACCTGGGATAGGGGCAGGTTGGTACTACCTACACTTGGTCCTACAAGGAAGGAGGCTGGTAAGAACACCTCTGGGTAGAGCCCATGATACCAGCCTCAGTGCTGACAAACTGGTTTCTCTGGCAGGGGGAACAGATGATACCTGGGCAGATGTGGACGATGTCACAGAAGAGGACTGTGCTCTTCGGTTAGTGCGGGGTTGGTCACTCTGGGTAGGAGGTTGGGTTGGGATGGGTGCCTGGTTGGTGGCAGCCATGCTCTTCTGGCAGTGGGTATTCATCTCTGGTCTATATAAGTGGATCGGCTCTTTGCCCCTGCTTTCCATCTCCATACCCTCAAAACAGCACTGTTTAAATCCACCCAGTAGCTTCATCAAGACACTGCTGGATACCTGAGCAGTCTGCAGCTGAAATCCCAGTACACGATGACCTCAGGGTTTCTGTGCTGCAGGTCTAAGGTCAGCCCTAGATGTCAGTCTTTGTTTGAGCCCTACACAGTGGCAGTATGCAGCTGGCCTGCTAAGTGTGAACTTGCCAGGTATCATACAGCACACCTGGCACTGAATTACAGGGTTGTAGCCACTGTATCCCACAATTGCATTTTGAGTCACACACACCATTTTCCTTCTTTGGTATGTGTGTGTTTGGGGGTGGGGGCAGCATTTGAGATGGTTTTATAAAACCACAGTGACTAGTTCTGGGTTTTTTTTGGTTTGGTTTGGTTTTTGTTTTTGCATTTTGAGACAAGGTCTTGTGTAGTCCAACCTGGCTTTGAACTTCCTAGTAGCCAGGGATGACCTTGAACTCTCCAGTCCTGTCACCATTTCCCAAGCTCTAGGACTACAGACACTGAGTTCCTTTAAAGGGAGAAAATGGGTACACTCTACTCCTTTCAAATGGTCTTTCGTGAACAAGCCTACAAATATCCTTTGTGTGGTTGCTATCACATGGAAAGTCTTTAGTTGGTATCCGGCGTCTCTGGAATGCGCATGAGCACCCTAGTAAGATCCGCTGCCCAAACTGTGGCTCAGGTACTTTGCTAAGCCCAAGTTCTGCAACTGACTTTGAAAGCAGTAGCTCTGGCTTGTGCTCAAGAATGTTTGGCGTCCCTGAGGTCAGGTGACTTCTGCCTTGGCCAGGTCATCTACAGCATACAGTTCTCAGGGAGGCAGCTGGCTCCTGGTAGTGATCAAGAAGCAGGCATTAAAAACACATTGCAGTGACTGTTTACTCTTTCTGCTGCTGCCATATCTGCATGGCAAGACAGAAAGTAGCCTGAGAATTTGGGGGGTTGTTTGTTTTCTTTCTCCTTGTTTCAAAGGCCTGGTTAAGTAGAAGAAATTCACTTACCTACTATTTCACAACCAGCTGATCAGATCACCCTAAAAAGTCTTTATCTGTTGAAAAATTTCAATCTGTTACATTCATAAGGCATATGGCTAAAAATGGTCCTAAATAGAGGGAAAAGGGGGAGGTGGAGATGAACTCTAATGGAAGCTTAAGGAGTCTGAGCCACCAGCCTGATGCCTTTTAGAACTGAGATTATCTCGAGTCTTCTGGCTTAATGTCAAGCAGTGCAGAGAGCCCTTTCCCACTCTGGCTGCAAATTGCTCTTCTTTGAACCACGTCCCGAGACAGGGATAATCTCTTGGAAAGTCACCTTCCTTGCCTGCTCCCTCTGACTTCTGGATAATTGAGCAGAGGTCTCCTTCCATACTTTCCAAAATAGCTCCCTACCCCACACTTCTCTGGATCAACAAGGATCTCAACCCCTTTCTCTGGCTATTATTTCAGAAGTGGTGACACACACCTTTTTGATAAGGTGAGAGGCTATGATATCAGGCTGCTTCGGTACCTATCCGTCAAGTACATCTGTGACCTGATGGTGGAGAACAAGAAGGTGAAGTTTGGCATGAAGTGAGTACAGGACATCTGGCATGAAGCAGGCTCAGGCTGTGTTCATGATTGGCGGGGCTGGCCCATAGTGCATGGCCCTTCTGGCTTGGTGGGCTGGTGTGAGGGCCATCTGTGCAGACTCTCATTGCATTTTCATTCATTCCTGATGTGCCTGCATCCACATGTATGTGTTGGTGCACGTGGAGGCCAAAGATTGACATCAGATATGTTCCCCAAGTCATTTTCCATTGGATTTTTCAAGACAGTCTTGCAATAAGCCTGGAGCTCACCAGTTCAGCTCTCCTGGCTGGCTGGAAAGCCGGCGGATCCTCCTGTCCACTTTCACATCACCGCGATTACAGGTGTTTGCAGCCACTTCCAGCTTTTTACATAGGTGCTGGGGATCTGAACTCAAGACCTCATGCAGGCATAGCAAGTACTTTACCAACTGAGCCATCTTCCTGGCCTCTTTCATTTATTTATTTGTTTGTTTGTTTATTGTATTTTTGTGGGGGTTATTTTGGTTTATTTTGCTTTTTGTTTGTTATTTTACTTTTCTTTGTTTTGATCTTTGTATTTTTGAGATAGTGTTTTGAAATATGGCCAAGATTGGCCTTGAACTCACTATGTAGCCTACACTGGCCCTGAATTTGTAAGGATCCTCCTGGCTCTGCTTCCCAGATCCTGGGATGAAAGTGTGCAACGACGCTCAGCTCCATGTTCCCATGTTTAGGAGTGGCCTTTGGAGGTAGAGAAGTCCTTCCTACTGTCCGGCTCTGTCCCACCCTCAGGACCAAGAGTGGATGTGCCTCATGCCTCCATGGAGCTGTTATGGAAGGTTATCCTCCAACTCTGGGTACTGGCTGAGGCCTGCTCCTTTGTTAGAGTGAAAATAGACCTCTTATTTGCGTTGTTGAAGGGGGACAGGGAAGAGTTCTTAATTGTTTGCTGCTGACTGTCCTTCCTAAGTCTGAAGGACAGTTGTTTAGCAAAAAGTTCATTGTAAGAAATTGTTACACTTATTTGGGAGTCTGTATTTGTGTGTGTATAGGAATATCATAACACATTATGCCCCTGTCTTGTAGTGTAACCTCCTCTGAGAAAGTGGACAAAGCCCAGCGCTATGCAGACTTCACTCTCCTCTCTATCCCATATCCAGGTAGGAGAATAGGGTCAAACTTTCTGTGCTTCGGTGTCCTGAGAACTGTTTGGGAGGAGCTGTATCAGGCAGCATGGACGTTTGGGCCCAGGTCACAGCAGTCATGCTTGGGGGTCAGGCAGGATCCTGCAGAGTTGTATATTTGTCCAAGGAGTGATGGTCAGAGGTGGGACCTGGTGTTGGTATTCATGAGCCACAACCTTGAGAAAGTTACTTCTCTGAGCTTCAGATTCCCTCAGGTATAAGTTAGAACTTGGAAAAGCTTAACTCCGGTTTGTCATAAATGCTAGATCTTGTGTATCCATATGGCCTGTGTACGTAAGAGGAAATGACATGCGCATACACAGCCGTACATCATTCGTGCTGCTCTGTCCCATATGGTGTGTGCCTTGCCATGAATGTCCAGAGCTATTTGTGGATCACTCCAGACAGTGCTGTTTGTGGAGCAGAAAAGCAAAAAGTGCTCTGTCATCAGTAATTATACAGTAACCTCCCAATATTACAGGACATCTCTGCCACACAATCCCGGGTCTGTGGCCAGGCTATATTCTCACACTGAAAACTGGAGCTGTGTAGTAGTACCCTAGTTCCCTACCATCCCTGCTGGTCGTTGAACATCGGTCCCAGGCTTTGCCAATCACACAGCAAGGTGTCCTCCCTCCTTGACGCCTCTCCCACTTCTCAGCACTGGCATCTTCCCTCAGTTTGGGCTTGGACTTTACTTTCTAGTCTTAGAGCCCTATAGTCATTATCAAGAATAGCCTGCAGTAGCCTCTCTTAGAATTGCAAATTCAGCAAGCTTCTTGTGAGAGATATCCTCATCAGACGACTGATGGCCTTTAGACCCACTCCTGATGATCTGGCATCCTCAGTGTCCTCCATGCAGTTTCATGACGCTCTTTTCTGCCAGCTCTGTGTTTGGCATCCTGTAGGACTAGGTGTAGCTCCCTGCCTTTGGCACTAGGTGCCCTGGAACCAGCCCCTCAACCTATCTGAGCACTGTTTGCATCCTTCATAACATGGGAATAATGACACTTGTTTCAGAATAAAGTGAGAGACCTCTAGCCCCAATAGACTCTAAATTATGGTTCTGATGAGTTTGTGGGAAGAAAGGCTCTTGGAACCTTCTCTTGTCTAAGAGCAACTTTGGACTGATGTAATTACGTTATGAAGATGCCACTGGGCTTGACAGTGCTGGCAAAAGTTTCTTCTTCCAGAAGCATCCATTCCTCACTTGATGCCCTTGCATTCTGTACTTAGAGCCATCAGTGGCTCTGCAGATGCTTCAGACCTAGTGTTGTCCTCCTAGGAGAGACTGCTAGGGAGTAGCCTCAGCTACTCCATGTGATGTGGTGTGCTCCCTAAGGAGTAGGCATCCGTTTGCTTGTTTATAGCTGAGTTCCAAAAAGGGCATGGGTAGGAAACATAGTAGTTAGTACCACGTGTTAGTGCCATTGCTTCATTCCAGTAGCAGTACTACACTGTTGAGGGAGCTGCAGGCCTCTTCCCACAGCCCGGCTCCCGGCCGCCTGGCTAGCTTATGCCCTGAAATAACAACACACAAATTGTATTCATTTAAACACTGCCTGGCGCATTAGCTCTAGCTTCTTACTGGCTAATTCTTACATCTTGATTACGCATTTCTATTAATGTGTGTAACACCCCAAGGTTACCAGGAAGATTCTAGCCTACGTCCATCCTGGGTTGGAGCTTCATCGCATCTGCCCTGGTGATGAGCTGCATGGCGTCTGTCTGAGGCGTCTTACCTCACCTCCTCTTCTTCCAGCATTCTGTTCTGTTTACCCCACCCACCTATGTTCTAACCTATCAGGGCCAAGCACTTTATTAATTAACCAATGATCTTCCTCCATCAGTACAGGGTCTCTTTGTTTGTAGTTTGGCAACTTACTACATATTCCTCAAATGTTAACACCCTTTGTTAACCTGTCATTGGTCTACAGTCCATCTGGCTTAGGGCTGAAGATATTTAGCATGATGTCTGCCTGTAATAGCAAATTCACGGGGCATAGTCTCATTAACCAGAATAAGAATGAAGTAAATGATGGTACTTCCATAATAGAATAGAGCTCAATACAGTGTACAGGAGCACCTGGTGCAAACACCTGTAATCCTGGCACTTGAGAAGTAGAGGCAGAGAGAGACACTACAAATTAAAGGTCAAGCCTGATCTATGTTGTCTGCTCCAGGCCAGGTGAGACCCTGTTTTAACAAAAGGTGAGGAGTAGGATACAGAATTAATTTGGTTGATATTCCCAGTGTGTTAAGGAAAACGTACTACCAAAACTGAGCAGGAAAGATGGCATAAAGATCCCCAAAATTTTTATGTACATCTGATTTTATGAGTCAGGAGGAGGGTACAGGGACAATCAAAAGAAAAAAAAAATAGCCAGACACAGCCATCAGGGGTAAAGGAGCAGAAGCACTTTTTAGTTGACATGCTTGTGTTCTTGAGGTTTTTTTCATGTCTGTATCACTTTACAAAATTGCCGTTATTGAAAGTCATACCTTTTATAGAAAGTGAAAGAAAAAATTGTGGTGTTGGATCAGCAGTGATGGATCATGACTACAGGTCCGGGCTTCTGAGGTCCATACCAAGGGCGGGGGGGGAACAGTCATACCTTTGACCTTTTAGGACTGTCACTTGAGTCCTGTGAGGTCTTCAAGGCTCATACAGGGACTAAAGATAGTATCAGTTTAACTTATAATGTAGATGGGCAGTGCTCCCAACTCTTCCTTCAGGGTGTGAGAATAGATGGGGCCAAACTGCCACTGGTTTGTATCCTTTGGAGCGAATTGTTTTCATCCCCTGCTTTGCCCTTACTGGGTTCAGAAGCTTGTTGAAGTAATGACATCAGGCACAGCCCTGGGTACCAAGTCTGTTTTAATTTTGTCAGTTTCTCACAAAAACAGTGTATGCATCCTGGGCTTTGTCAGAAGTTGATCTAGCAAGTAAGGATATGAGAAAGCAAATCACTTCATGGTGCCCTAGGAGATAATTGGTGTCTCCTTTTAGCCCAGGCTCATAAGCTCAAGGCCCCTGCCTGGTAGTTATAGCTGTTCTCTCTCCTGGTGAGGCACCCTAAAATAGGCTGAAGTATTAGGACTGAAGATTATCTCCTGACTTCTCAATCATTATTGAACCTGGGGGATTAGTATGAAATAAAAGCCATATTTGTCACATGGGATTGGTCCCCACTTTTCTCTCCACAAAGACCCTCATTTTGCTTTGAAGCAAGCCTAAAGGTTGTTGTAGAGTTCCCTGAGTATTCAGCCTCTGGTCTCTCACAGAATTAAGGGCTCTCACTGGACTTGGTGTACCAAACCCATTTGCCTGCTGAAGTCTGCACACACAGACCTGCGGAGCTCAGAGTAATTCTAAGAAACTGTTCCCTCTGCATTTGCTCTCCCCTGCCCGGTGACTTTATGTCACAGGAGCCCACTCAGCAAAATGGCTGTGTTCATCCCACAAAGGCAGGCTGTAGCCCAGGGGCAAGCCTCCTCTCTGACCAAGACAGCTGGCTGCTGCAGAACAAGATATTGCCTGAGTCTGTCATGGTGGTACACTTAGGAGGTAGAGGCAGGTTTGGATCTCTGTGAATTCAAGGCCAGGATGGTCTACATAGCCAGTCCCAGGACAGCTGGGAAAAACAAAACAAAAAGCTGGTTGACTAAGTCAAGGTTGACACTAAGAATTCCTGTCACAAGAGCAGTATAGTGCCAGTTATGTATTGCCATTTGAATGTCACAGATACCCAAACAGCTGTGCAACTGACTATACTGTTTTATATGTATTACTGTATTTCACCTAAAGCCACAAGTAGGAAAACCAGGGCTTAGTGACATTCACCAACTTATTCCCAGTCATAGGTGTGGGTAAAACCGTACTTTAAGTTGGGTCTGCTTCCAAAGGCTCTTCTCTGCACAGTTCCTCCCTCTGTTGCCGAGGCCTCCACCTGGTAGTTTCTGAGGAAGTTTGAATGATGAAGAATGTGCCCTCCCCCTGCTGGGTTGACACTGAGCACTTGTCAGCTTGCAGGCACTGCCCATGCCTCTGGAGTAAGGATATGCAGTCCTCTCCGAAACCTGTAGTTGGGGATTGCTACCCCCATTTCGAAGATGCTGCCTTAGCTTCTGCAAGAAAGTGAACTCTTGCTGTGAGCACTGCCTTTATGTGCTGTGATTGGCACTAGAAACTTGTGGGACAAAGGGACCTGCAGTGAGGGAGGTGCCTGTAGTGACCAAGGAACACAGATAGTGCAAGGACAGTTGGGACCTTGTATAGCTGGAAATGGTGGTGCTCAGGAGCTTTCAGTCAGCCTCAGCCTGCCCAGGGCCACCGTGCAGAAAGCCTGGTGAGCTCATGGCTCCTGAGTTTTCCAGCACCTAGAGTCAAGGTGGCAAGGGAGCTGTTGAGCAGGACAGGAAGTGCTAATAAGGTGCCATAACGCTGCCTTCTTTTCCAGGCTGTGAATTCTTCAAGGAGTATAAGGATCGGGATTACATGGCTGAAGGGCTCATATTTAACTGGAAGCAGGTATGAGTAACAATATTCAACCATGTTTCTTTTTAGCAGGAGACCCTTTATTCTTCTTGCCTGAATTCGTCTCGCTATTTCTTTCTCTTCCTCTGCTGCTTGTATGTGTGTGTTAATATCTCACTGCACAGCTCCCTTTTTCATGACTGCCTCTCCATAAAAGAAAGTCTTCAAAGCCAAATTAGGGAACAATTAGCCTTCCTCTTCTTCCACTCTGTGAAGACTGGAAGCGGCATTGTTTCTTCAAGCAGGAGCTCATGCACAGGGAGTCTCCAGAGGCTGTGCGTGGCTTGCTGTTGCTTCTTGCAGCTCAGATACTTCAGTATCTGACAGATAAACTCCATTCAGCTGTGGTGACCTGGTCACTTTGCTTTTTAAGCAGTCAGTTCCAGAAGTCCCCAGGCATCTGGTCCAGAAGAGGCGAGCACTGTGGAGGGCTGTCCTACCTATGGTGGATACAGCTCCAGGGCTGGGGCCTGTTGTCGCCACAGCTACATATGCTGGCCAATTACATCTCACAGTGTCATTCTGTTCTCAGGACTATGTCGATGCCCCATTGAACATCCCTGACTTCCTGACTCGCTCTCTGAACATTGACTGGAGCCAGTATCAGGTGAGGGCCTGATCATGCAGGCAGGATGAGGGGATGGTGTAACCAAGGGACCCCGTTGTCCATCCTTTGAGACCTTGTGCAAATGTAGTATTCTGACATCCCACAGCCCAGACAATGAGAAACTGCTTGCCTATTGAACTGTCTTTTTATTTGTGTGTGTGTGTGTTTTGGGGTTGGTTTTTGTTTGTTTGTTTTTGGTTTGGGTTTTTTTTTTTTTTTAAGACAAGGTCTCACTGTATAGCCCAGGTTGACCTAGAACTGTGTAGACCATCTGACCAGCCTTGAACTCAGAGATCCTCCTGAGCACTGGGATTAAAGGTGTGCACTATCTTGTACAGCGGCGTAAGGCTTTCCTTATTTGCTCCAGACCCAGAGAGTCAAAGTCTTCCAAACGTAACTCAGTGATTTGTGTCCACCAGGGGGATCTGTTTCCAGGGAACTTCACAAAGTCTGCTCTTCCACATCTGGGCTTAGCAGCTTTTCATTTTTCTTTTTAATGGGTTCTGTTAGTAGAAGTGCAGAGCTGCCTGACCTCATTTGACTGCAGAAACCTGAAAGATAGAGCTGGCTCTCCACACTGTTTAACCCTCACAAGCTGACAGCTGCTGGGAGTCTCCCTTGCAGCCTGCCCCTTCTCAGCTTCCTCCTGTCTGGCTGACACCTTGTCCTTCAGGATTGGCTCTGTGTCCACTTCAGGAAGACTTTCCTGATTTGCCTCCTCTCCCCATCCCTGATGGTTGGATGTCTGCATCTACCTTCCCATTAGCCCCCCGGGTGTATCTATCATGGAATTTTCCACTGAGCTATAGCTACTGATTTAGAGATCTGCTTCTGTGAGCCCCATAAGGACAGAGAACCCACAGCTTGTGTATCTCCTCAGCACCCCCTGCACATAAAGCCAGGTGTTGGGGTACGTGCCTGTCATCCTTTACTCAGGATCATTGCAAGTTTGAGGCCAGCCTGGGCTACTTAGCAGATCCTGTCTCAAAACCTGTCCACCCCATACCCTGAAGAGAGAAAGAGGGAGAGAGGGCGGGGGAGGACAGCTAAGCCGGTGATTATCAAAAGTATCCTGCCTCCCTACCATTTTCATTGTGCCCTGCATTGTACAACTCCCACACAGCCTTAAGGTTTCCTTTTCTCAGACCTGGCCTGCCTCTTAGGCAACAGGAGGCCCCATTCTCTTATGTGATACCCAGGAAGTTTGTAAAGGCAAGGACTGGATTTGTCTTAACCCAGTTCTCTTCCTGCTATGCAGATTCCAAAGAATTGAACTCAAGTCATGAGGTTTGGTGGCAAATGCCTCTACCTACCATTCCACCTCACCAGCAGGGATTTATCTTATCTCTGAATAGCCTTGATAACAGCTTAGATGCCCAGACAGCTATCTGGGTACATGCGCGGAGGGAGGGGGGAGGGAATGTCAGGTATCTCCTAAATAAGTGTTCCTATAAGAGTGTCATCAGAGAGGGAAAGCAGGCTGGTGCTCTTCATTGTGGTCTAAAGACTAGGTTTGTGGGGTCCTGTTTTCTGGGCTATGGTTTCACAGGTTAAATAGCCAAGTAGAGACTGCACACTCCTCAGTTTGTGTACTGAGCTCTCAGGTGACCTCTACCCTAAGCTGCCCTTCTGGTCTCTCTGGAGCTGCCTGTTTTCCTGAATGCAGGTGCCAAATGGATGTGATGAACTACTCACCAAATGGGGTGACAGGAGGGGGCGGTGTATGTTGGTCCTGCTAAGGCTGTCTCTAGGGAGGAAGACCTCTGCTAAGTAGTTGGAGATGCTGCAGTTGGGCTCCTTGGCTTTGAACAGATCTTGCCTTTCCCGGAAGATGGGGTTGGCAGCCCTATCCCAGGCCTCACTAGGATCTCTGAGTTGTAAGTGTTCTCTGAGAAGGCATGTTGGAGTGCCTTCACAGCAGTGAGAAGCAGACCACCAGTTAGCTGGCTGCAGAGCAGGAACGCCAATGTGATTCAGGCATGCTGGGGGCGGGGGCATGTCAAAGGAATGCTTCCTTGAATAAAGCAGTCAAGCCAGTTTGCCTCACTTTGTCTCTTCATGTCATCTTCAGCCAGGGGTGCGCTCTGCCTTCTCAGCATGTTAACTTTGGGGTCCCAGATTCCTTTATACTTTACCTCACTGCAGGTGATGTACTCTCTTGTTCACTCCGCTTTACATTCACTTTGCTCTGCTCCTGGAGGCTTTCTCATGGAGTGCATGGGATGAGCATCAGGGGCGGACACTGCTCACATTCAGTAGTCTCACGTGTTTTGTTTCTTACTCTCCTGTAAATCTTAGAGTCTAGTGGTGCCAGACCCATCCCTCAGCCCAGCTGTGCAGTTTGGGCCTTCCCAGTGCAGCCCTCTCCATGGATAACCAGGCCCAGCCCTGGGAACATGCTGTCTCTTTCTGATCAAAGTCTCCTTTAGATCTGCACGCTTGGCACTCTGCAGAGCCCCAGGCTTGGTCCCTCCCCTCCCCTTGCTGCTGCTATCTTTACTAGCAAGCCTAACCTGAGGCTTTATGCTCCATGGCTCCTGTCCTCACTCTGCAGAAGCTTAGCTCAGAGGAAACCTCTTGGCAATAGTGTGTCAGACATGTTGAGCCAGCTGTGTAAAGAGACCCTCATGCTCCTGCTGGTAATGGCTTTATTAGCACAATGCTGCAGCAGGTCTCTGGAGCTGCTAAAAGTGGGTCAGAACTCTCTGGGGGCATGGGAGGGTCAGGTAAATGAGTCTGCTTTAAATTCCTGGGAAAACCATTGCAATTACAGGTGCCGTGTTCCCCTCCCCCCGGGAAGTGCTCTCTCGTTGGCATGCGCCATCCTCTCTGCACAGCCCAGAACGCTGATAGGCAGTTGTGTCCTAAGAGAGCAGAGGCTGTCCCTAGCCAGGGGAAAAGGCTCTGCAGAACTGGGTCAGGCCCCTCTATGGAATTCAGATTGGGAGTGGGCTGCTCCAGAGTGCCTGGTCTAGCCCTCACTTGGCTAGAACAGATTCTTGGCAGCATTATATATTTCCTGACTCCCACCTAAATGAGCCTCTTATTAAAATAAAACAAAGTGTCTGCTAAATACACTGTATATATTTCTCCAGGAGGTGGTAGTACATATGTATAATCCCACCAGTCGGGAGGCAGAAGCAGAAAGATAGTGAGTTCCAGCCCAACCTAGGCTAATATAGGAAGACAATCTCTAAAAAGGGAAAGGGGCCAGCCAGGTGGCTCAGTATGTAAAGGTGGTTGCCGCCAAGCTTTACACCCTGAATTTGATCCCCTGAACCCATGCAAAGTGGAAAAAAAAACAGCCCTCAAAAATTCTCCTCTGAATTTTCAGACATAAGCCATGGCAGGAATGCATCTTGTTGTTTAGTATGTGTGGATGTTTTGCCTGCATGCCTGTCTGTGCATCACTGTGTGCAATACCTATGGAGGCCAAAAGATAACAGAATCCCTGGAACCCCCTCAGGACTGCAGTTACAGATAGATGTGGGTACAGGAAATTGAACCCTGTTCCTCTATAAGAACAGCTCTTAGCCATTGAGCTGTCTTTTCTACCCCAGGAGTGTTACACACGCACACATGCATGCATGCATGCACACACAGTGTTAAACAGTGACAAAAAAAGATAGCATGCAGTGAGCAGCAATAAAGGTAAATTAAACGACAATTGAGAAAGTTAGTGTTTGTGTTGGTTTCCATGGTGTGGTGGCAGATGAAAGAATGACTCTTACATGGCTGTTTGGAAACAGTGTCTACCCTGGACCCCTGCACTTAGAAGCTGTTGGCATGAGGTTGCTTAAGAACACCTGCTAGAGGCGTCTATCCCCCCACTCTCCAGCACACTGAGTACCAGGCTGGTATAGCTGAGGTTGGTCTTGAATTCCTCATCCTCCTGCCTAGGCTCCTAAGAGCTGAGGTTACAAAGGGCATATCATCACACCTGGCAACATTTTTGTTAGACTTTGGTGCTAGGATGGACCTGGCATTTCTTAAATGCAAAAGCATGTGATCCACCACCAACCTATACCCCCTCTGGCATTTGTATTTGTTTGGGAATTTTTGAGACTCGGTATGTAGCTAAGCTTCAAACTCATGTTCCTCTTTCCTCTAAGTCCTAGTTAATATTTATTTCTCAATCTTTCTCTTGTTTTGTCCAGAGTTGGGACCTGGTGCAACAAACACAAAACTACCTGAAACTGCTGCTTTCCATTGTTAACAGTGATGGTGAGTCTTAGGATCCCAAGCCTGTGAAATGCTGGCCAGGAATGTAGGATTAGGTCTCTGAGAATCCCCTGAGCCAAGAGACTTTTCAGGCTGCATTCCTTCCCAGGGGTATGCTGATGAGATGTCTGTGTGGGAAAAAGCACTCGCTGCACAAGCTTGATAAATTGGGTATGATGCCCAGAGCCATGGTGGAAGAAGAGAACCAATTTCCACAGTTGTTCTCTGATCTTGGCCTGTGCACGCTTATGTGTACACAAACACAATGATAAACAGTTAAAAACAGAACTTCAAAAACAGAACTTCAACTAGAAATATGAGAGACCATACTAGGTACTTCACCCATATCTAGGATGAAATTGGGGAATAGCCTTGGACAGGTGCCTGGGGAAGAGGACACTAAGCTGGCCTGGAGGCCTTTTCATCAACCCCTGTCTGGGTCTCTCATTTGGTGTTCCTGTTCTGCCACAGATGACCGCGGCGGGCTGCTGGTACACTGTATCTCAGGCTGGGATCGGACCCCGCTTTTCATCTCTCTTCTACGCCTTTCCTTATGGGCTGTGAGTATGAATAAATGTCTTGGAGTCAGGGAACATGCAGAGACCATTTTAGGCTTTACCCTTTGGTGTCTTAATTATTATCTCCAAGATGCAGAGATGCTGTGGGGTGAGGGCACACTCAGCAGGTGTCATGTTTAACCCTGTTCTTGGTCAACGGGTACAGTCACCCAGTCTATAGTGTGGTTTGCTCCTGGGGTAAGGAGGTCTATACTAGGACCTTTCTGATCTTGCCACCTTTGGTCTCTCCCAGGATGGGCTAATCCACACATCTCTGAAGCCTGCTGAGATCCTCTACCTGACTGTGGCCTATGACTGGTTCCTCTTTGGGTAAGTTTTCAAGGAACACCAGCCTTTGAGGTGTATGTGCATGGTATTTTTTATGGGGAACAGAGATAAGAAAACAGTTGGCTCCCTTTGGAAAAGATCAGAAATGTTGGCAGGCTTCATCTGATGCATTAGTGCCAAAGACTGGTCTCTCTCTGGTGCACAAGCTTCCTACAGCCCCGCGTTACACCCTTTGACTCCTCACTCTTCTTTTTCAGGCACATGTTGGTAGACAGGCTCAGCAAAGGAGAGGAGGTGAGTACCCTCATAGACCTATACCACACCTTAAGACAGAATGACGTTCATTTTGGTTGCCATGCTGTAGAGGCAGTTTCTCGACCCAGAATACTTGGATGAGGTCACTATCTTCTTCCCTCAGGCAGCGTTGGGGAGCAGAGGGGAAGCAAGAGCACAGAGCCCTGTGTGAACCTCAGATTCCCTTTGTACTGCAGAAAAAGTTCTGGTCACAGCTGCTGTGATTTTTTTACGTTAATGTTCTTCCTTTCTGCACTTGGCTCTGGAACCAATGTATAGGGTGCTTTCCATGACCCATGCTCAGGGCCTAAACATGAAGCGCTGCTCTCTCTTCAGTCCTGCCGCACACAGAATCCCTTCCCTTTCCCAAGGCGTTGTGTGCACCCATGGTCCTCCCCACTTCTCATCTGTAGGCTACCTCCAGGTCCCTCCTCTTCAGTGTGGTCAACTTCCTCTGCCATCTCCACATCTTGTCTGCTTGTCATGGTTTCCCCAGCATCAGATCTTAAGTAGGGCTTGCCTGTGTCTACTTGTCCTGCTTATTGCCTAGGTGACCTTGAGCAGCATAACCTTGAGTCTCCTGGTTCCTCGCTCAGAGCTAGAGATGCCTATCAGGACAGCGTTGGCTTTGTCTCCCCTCATCTCCAGCCTTTCAGAAGCATCTTCTCTCCCTCCCACTCCTGAGCTTGCTTCCTTCTTGGGCATCTTATCTCCAGCTTTCTTTTGTTGCTCCTGTCTAGCTGCTCGTCCCCCTTCCAAATCTCTTCTGAGCACTTATGTGACTGCAGGGCTGCAGAGCTCATAAGCCCGTTCCTTGGAGGCCTCATGAACTCTGCCAGAGGCAGAGCCTTCGGCATTGAAATCTGGGCAGAAGGCCTCTTTGTAGACTCTTGTTTGGAGATTTTGCTGGTGCTTTAGGACATTCTGTCCTCCACTCCATCTCCCTCCTCTCCCAAAGCAGGCCAGATGCTCCCTTTGAAGAATCAAGGCAAAGATGAAGCCGAGCTGCCTGGGCTGAGTCCCACCCTTCGGTCCCTCAATGTATGCAAAGGTCTCTGAGACTGAAGGGTTGGGCTTTACCTCCCCAGACTACAGAAACCTCTATAAAACAACAAGCTAAAAACAGCTACTATGTGCCTCTTTACCCTGTCTTCTGCTTTGAGGTTCCCTGGATATATTAGCACATTAAAGGCTGAAGAGTCTGATGGAACACCTGTGTCATTTTATATAATAGAGCATTTTCATAATGACGAGATCTGAGCAACCCTCTGCCTGGTTTTTTGTTTTTGTTTTTGTTTTGTTTTGTTTTGGAGGGACTCTTACAGGGCCCTGTGGGAATGTGTGGGTGTTTCCCTGTATCTCATGGGTTGCATCTTTGGGGATCACTGGTGTGCTATGTAGGCTAAATAGACTGAAGCCTCTGGACTAGGGCACTGGCTGGGATTTACTCATGGGAATGGGGTTGCTGCCAGAATCAGCACCTCCTGCCTGTACTAATTCACAGCAAAGACCTGGGCCTCACAGGACCTGAGCACAGCAGACTCTGAACTAGTCCTTGGCTGCCCTACACAAGTTCTAATCCTGTGTCAGATCCTGTGACCCCACCTCATGGAATGCCTTTCCACGTCTGCCTTATCCACTAATCCCCATGCCCAGATACTTGCCCTCCCAGCTGTCCTTCCCTGTCAGTGGCTCTCCTTGGGCTTAGATGGAAGTGGGAAGCTACTGTTACCTCCTCTTTGTAAAGATTAAGAACATGTATGTTGAAGATTTGAAAGCTCTACATTGGACTTCTGTGTCCTCAAGAAAGGAGCACATTCCTTCCTTCCCTACCCCATCTCATGGAGCACTTGCCCACCCCTGCTGAGCCCTCTCTTTCACCCACATCAATCGTAAACCCAGAAGATGGAAGATGCAGCAGGGTCTCCAAAGCAGGTCATTCTCTGTAAGAGGGATTAACCAGAGCAGCCAGCAGCCCAGTTCTGAATGCTCTGCTATGTGGTGATATTTCATTTTATTTTAATAAAAATGAATAAAGCTTGCCTGAAGATCAGAGAGTAAAACAGCTGCACTGATCAGCCATAAGACCAGGCAGTGGTGGCACACACCTTTAATTCCAGTAACCATACTAGTTTTCCATAAAAACCAGGCATTAGTGGTGCACGCCTTTAATCCCACCACTAGAGAGGAATCTAAAATGGGAGGAAGACAGTTTTCAGACACAGTCTCATTCTGAGGATTTCTGAAGGCAGGATCGCCATTTTTGAACTGAGGTAGAGGTGAGAGCAAGTGGCTGGCTGCTTTGCTTTTCTGGTCTTCAGGTTGAATCCCGATTTCTGTCCCTGGGTTTATTAATCGTGCTACACTGCTCTCCATCTCTCCAGTGGGGAAGGTAGCTTCTCACTGTGTTCTGATTTTTCTCACTCCTTCAGATTTTCTTCTTTTGCTTCAATTTTTTGAAGCATATCACCTCCGAAGAGTTCTGCCTGAAGACCCAGAGGTAAGTGGAGACCACAAGCGCTCAGGGGAACTCCTCTTCAGTAGGGTATTTATCCCAGCCCTGTACAAATGTCCATATTGAGGACCTAAGTGAACAGGGAATGGATGGTTTGATGAACTGTGATGCTGTAGGAAGAAACAAGCCTGTGGACAGGACTCCTCACTTCTCACAGCCTTGAACTGATGGTGCTCATCATTCTTGGGTCCTAAAGAAGGCCAAATGTGCTGGGATGTAGCTCAGTAGTAGAGTGCTCACCTACCACGCTCCGGCCCCTGCATTCAATCTTTGGTACCATAAAAAAGAAAAAACTCAGAATATGACCCCATAGAAACTGAATCATACTCAGCTGGGCATCATGGTGCACACTTTATCCCAGCATCTGGCAGGCAGATCTGAGTGCAGAGCCAGCCTGGTCATCTGCACACTGAGCAGAAATCTGCTTTCAGCCTGAAAGTCTTGTATGTCTGGCAGTTACTCTGGGACTTCAGTGAGAACTTGGGTCCTATGAGTTGACTTGTCTTTCTACCAAACTTGCCAATTGTTGGGCCATGATTGAAAGGAAAAGCAGACTGTGTTGACTTTAGTCTAGTGCGTGTGACAGGCAGCGCCAAGCTAGTTGATCCCAGAAGTGGTCCTGGTACTTGGCAGCAGACTCTGTAGGTGGGACCTGTTCCATGTGGTGCCAGTAGTTGGAACTGTCCTGCAGGCTGGGTAGAGTCAAGAGGAAGTGACAGAAAACTCCAGCTGCAGCTCAAATTTCCTGCTTGGGGTTGTCATTCTAGGAGGAAGAGTTTGTCAACTCGGGATGCAGGCTTCACTGTGGAAGATATCTGCATGTTGAGTGAGTGCTGGCCCTTAACAGCCTTTACTTCTTCACCGTAGCTACCTGAGAATAGACTACATGGGGACCTGTTCTAGAAGCTTATCCATCCAGCCATGTGGTGTGGAAAAGGTGGGAGACTGGTAGTGGGGAAGGTAACATGCTGACTTTCTGGCTGCTTTCAGGACGCAGAGACCGAGGCAGCACCACCAGCCTAGGCAGCGACTTCTCCCTGGTCATGGAGAATTCACCAGGAGCCGTGGGGAGCTTCACCTATGAGGCTGTGGAACTTGTCCCGGCAGGAGCACCAACTCAGGCAGCTTGGTGAGGGGCCAGACTGAGACAGAGTAAACTCACAGCTGTGGCCCAAGGCCACCAGCCCTAGGGAGCCAAGCTGTAGCCCCAGGAACAAAGGGGGCTCTGACAGAAGGCTTGAGAGCACAGCTTCATCCCCTGCTGTCTGTACTGGGCCTCAGAGCCCAGCCATCTGGTTGGTGAGGGGCACTGCATGGTGGCCCAGGAGCATAAAGTGCTGGTGCTCCCAGTGGGACCAAGAAGTAGCAGCGAGATGAGAGGGAAGAGTACCCTGTACAGTGTGCCAGGAGGTAGGGGCCAGCTTAGCGAAAGGAAACAAAAGGTGGTGGGTACATACGAGGTAAGGGACCTGCTTTGAGGGTCCTCCCATGAGAATGTGGCAGGATCTGAGGCCTTAATGTCTTCCTCCTTAGACACATGGCAGAGTTTGTATAGCATTTACAAGTTAGGGAATAGAGCAGTTAGTGCACACTAAGAATAGTTTTCTAACATGTTCTGAGTCATGGGCCAGTGCAATTAGAATGCCTTAGAGTCTCAGTTAAAGTCCCAGCCCTTGTTGCCTGTGGCTTGAGTCTGAGAGAGGACCAAGTGTTTGTGCCTTCTGGGTATGAAAGTTCCCACATAGACAAAGTGGCTCCGAAACCCAGCTGACAGCCTTGCTCTTCTGCCACAGGAGGAAGAGTCACTCATCCTCCCCACAGAGTATGCTCTGGAGCCGGCCACAACCCTCTGAGGACCGCCTGCCTTCCCACCATGGGCTGGCTGAAGCCAAGTCTTCCAGCTCTTCATCCTCAAACCATTCTGACTTTTTCAGGATGGGCAGCAGTCCTCTTGAGGTCCCCAAACCCAGGTGAGGAACCCCAAGGTTTTAAGGAGCCTGCTGGAAAATGTTACTGGCTTTCCTCCATTAGCAAGGTTGGAAGCAGGGCTCTAACATTGAAGCTGGGATTCCTTGGTATGTGCCTGATGTAGCTCCTTAGAGCTGGAAGAAGTGGATAGCTTAGCAGGCCCACTCTTTGAAGGCTTGGTTGCTGTTGGGACACAGAGCCTTCACTGGTTTGTAAAAACTTTTGGAATTGCTTCCTGGAGCTCTCTAGTACGTGGGTACACAGTGATGTAATGGTTGTTATGTGACAGAGTCAGGGCTGCTCCGTTGGTCACCTTTGGAAGATCCTAGCCCTCTATGGACTGCCTGTTGTTAATCAAAATGGGTCTGGACACACTGGGTTCATTGTCCCTCACCTTTCTTGTCCACGTTGATGGAGAAGCTAAAACAGATAAGGAGCCAGCCCAGATACGTGTCTGTGGAAAACTGTAGCAACTCTATCTACTCCTGAGAAAGCATCAACTCAGCTAAGACAGGTGTGCCCATGCTAAGGCCAGTACACTGCCTCCTGGGTAAAGTTAAAACTGAGCGTGCTCCAGGGCTTATGAATGAGGGGTGCTCTGGCATGTGGGGAAAGCACTTCCCAGCTGATGGTCCTGCTTTTTCCATCTCATATTTCAAGGAAAGTCCGTGTGCTTGATTGCTTTCCTGTCTGAATCCTAGAGAATTCCTAGCCCTTCTAAAGACAGCAGAACAATGTGGGGCCTAGAGAACCCTAAGGGATTCACAGAATGGGCATGAGCTCTGGAGTCCCACTTAGACTCGAGCCCAGCTTTGCCATGTAAGTCTAAATCACACTCAGACTTGTAGCTTTCTGACTTGGTAGCAGGCCTGTTAAAAGGCAAACTTGCTAATACTTCTGGTACCCTCCTTTACTCTCTGGACAAGAGGAAACAGTGGAGTATGAGGAGCCAAAGCATCCTCAGGGAGGCCGAGCAAATGAACAGTGGGCAAGCATGGTGGCCAGCTGCTCTGGCCAGAGGGGCCCGATGTGCACTACCTACAGGAGAGCCCCTCACCTCAGTGTTATTGGCAAGTGCTGGGGAGTCTAAGCCAAGACTGTAGCCCAGAGGAGACTTGGTGGCTGTCAGGGCCAGGCAGACAGCCCACATTGCCTGTGCCTGTTCACATCCTACATGTGGGGGCTGGCATGTATGCCTGTTGCTGTGACCTCTCACCTGCACTCGGCTGTTCTCGGGGTTACTCTGGTGTTGTAGTAGCACTGTGAGACTCTTGCTGTCTGGGCTGAGGTTCTTGTTCATGGTCCCTGCCTCCTTTACTGACTTTTCTGTGTAACACTACTGGTTAACTGGGCAGGAAGCCAAAATGGTCTACTTTACCATCTAGGCCTTGCCCCAACTGTAGACAACTCCCATCAACACTTTTTCTCACACCCACTTTTTATCATCCCTTTCTGCCTCCCAGGACAGTCACAGTTTCCTTCAATCTTACAGATTTTTTTTTTTTAACCTTCTTTGAGTGACTCCGACTTTCTCATAGGGTCCAGGATGGCTGTAAACATCCTTTCTCTGGGAGATGAGGAGTATTGGGGGATCCACCTTTTCACCTCAAAGCCCTATACCCTGAGGCCAGCCCAAGGCTAGCATGGACCTAAATGGGAATTGGGTAGACAGTGTGTGAGGCAGCTGCTGTGAACAGTGTTTTCTGAGAGCACCTACCCAGAGCCAGGCCCAGCTAGCCAGGCAACACCGTCTGAATCACATGTCTGCTGCCAGAGGTTTTGAAAGACTATACACTATTCTGATTTAGAGCATTCTAATTATGTATTTCCATTAACATTAAAATTAATTTAGTCTCTTTTATCTTAAAGTGCCTGAGGGATCCTGTCATTAGCTGCTCTGCCTCTTAGGTAACAGCAGCCAATCTGGTCTTCAGTGCCACAGGCAGATCTGTGTGGAAAGCATCCCTTTAGGAAAGTTATCCATGACTGCGACAATCACTGCTGCTGTGAGGTGCTGGGTCTCGTGTGTTCCCACTCTCTAACCCCTGCCTCTCCTAAAGCAGGACCCCCGAGAGAAGAATTGCAGCGACTTTGCTACGAGTGGGGAGGAGAGCTCTGTGGAGTGGTGATTCTTACCGGGCTAGGATTCCATTTTTCTCACAGGGAAGACAGTGACTTTGGGGGTTTTTTCTCTGCTACCATATAATCAGCCACAGAACTCTTAAGTGTACATGTCTACTTCAGCCTTAATTAGGAAATCACCTGTTCGGCCTTAGCATGGCCTTAATCTTTGTTCTTAGGTTAGGAGTGAGGGGTGGGGTTCTAGCACAGTGCTGTCTACTGAGGAGGATGGTGCCACCACTGAGCCCAGCTTGATGCCAGGCTGCCTGAGAGACACCCAACAGCCTGGTTGAATAGCTAAGTAGCAACACAGGAACTAACCTCTGCTGCCCAGTTAGCTGCTCCCCCAGGCACTGCCCCCTGCTCATTATAAAGCTGTGAGCTCTGTCCCAGGCTGTCTTATACAGCAGAGAAGCCTGGCTGCTCTCTGCAGGACACAGATTCCTGTCCTGCCCCAGACCTGACGTGAGTGCTGATATACCTAAGGCAGTCCCAGCTTGAGACCTGGAGGAGGAAACTTTGAGCCCCAAGACTTTTCCTTGGGCTGATGTAGGAATGCAGGAGGCCTTGCTGGGCTGACATGCACATGTGTAAAAGGTCAAAGACCAGGTACTTGGGCAGAGGCTGTGGGGCCATCCTTGAGATGCATCACAGGTATGATGCAGCAATCAATGAATCAATGACTGGTGTCAAGAGGATAAGTCTGGGTTCAATGACATATAGGCTTCCTCAAAGTATAAGACTTGGCTCGGATATTCCCTTCAGTCACTGTTCACTGAATGGCTTTCCCTTTTCTAATCTGTAACCAGAAACTTCAGACAGGTAACTGAACTGTACTTTCAAGCATTCTGTGGCGCCATGATTATTGAGATGCTTTCAAAATACAAGTAACAGGAAGCACATCAGGTAGCCTTCAGGTATAGTCTTAACAGCATCCCAAACCTATATCCCAGTGGTTCCTTCTCCTAGCTGCCTTGCTTCTTGAGCCACCTTTCTCCATCTTGCCAAAGTGACTGTTGGGAGCTCCTGAGACTCCCCTAGCTTTCCTTTTTCACACAGAAGGCTCTCATGAAGCCTCTTCTTCCAGTCACACTTTTGCTCTCATGGCAGTCATGTGCCCATTCATGAGCTAGCCCTGCCCGTATTGAGAAGGAAAAACAGCCAGCGGTGGTGGCACACACCTTTAATCCCAGCACTTGGGAAGCAGGGCTACATGGTGAGCACCTGTCATCGTCTCCTTTCTCTCCCCGCCCCCCGACCACCCATGTAACAGTCCTGGCTAGCCTGGAACTCACCAGGCTGGCCTCAAACTCGGAGATTTCTGCTTCCTGAGTACTGGGATTAAAGGTGTGTGCCTGCACCACCTGGCATCTCTTTGTTTTTTGTTTGTTTGGTTTTGTTTTTATTTTTGGGTTTTTTTTTTTTTTTTTTAATGAGTGTTTTGGAATTTTGAAAGAAATTTCACTGTCTCTATAGATTGAGTTTGGTAATGTAGCTATCCTTCTGGAGAGTGGTCCTTGAAGGTGAGGTTGTCTGGAACACTAGAAGTTAATCTCTAATATATGTGTGACAAATCTCACAAGTCCAGCTACTNCTTCTGAGAGTCATTCTCTCTGCCCCAGATCCATTGTCAGGTCGCAGCAGGTCTGTGTTGCCATTAAGCAAGTTGTGCTGTGTTCACAAACCCTATTTAAATGCTCAGCCCCCTGAAAGAGCTAGAGTTTGTGCTTTTAGCATGGACCAGGAAGTCACTGTTTGGAAACTACACTTTTTTTTTTTTTTTTTTTTTTTTTAGGAAAATTGGCTAAAATGGACCTGGGCCAGACCTGATTTCAGTCACAGCTTTGGCCTTCCCAGCTGTGCAACTTGTGGGGGAATGACTTTCCTCCCTCCGAGCTCAGTTTTGAGCCCAGTTTTAAATTAGAACAGTGATCCTGAACCCTGTAAATAAGGGTGAAATGGTGTAATGAAGTAAGGTGTCTGTCGGTCCTGACATGGTAGATATTTGTTCTTCCTACACATGTTCAGGAACTGCATCTGTTTTATCAGGAACTGTTCTTATCAATCATTTATCTGCCAGCCACGTCAGAGCACTGGGCAGCTGATAAAAGCCTGGTGCCTCACCCAGACCTATTCTTGCCTGGATTCAGCCAGTATTCTTTGTATCTGTTTTCATGTCTCTCAGTACAGGAAGTAGTAGCTGGAAGCTCCCTGGCTATAACTGCCCTCAGCCAGGTGTTCTCCAGGAGTTAGGGAGGCTGGGAGCTGCTGAAGAAGGGCTTGGGCTGAGGCCAGCTAAGGGAGTAAAATGTTACCCAGAAGCCACCATCCTGTGCAGAGGCTTTGGTCTTCTAGGCCCCAGGCTGAGTACAAAACTCCATAGCTCCAGTTTGAGGGCTACTTGGCTATGTTCTTTCTGGTGCTTGAGCAGGCGAGCACAGGAGGCAAATCTCTCTTCACAGCTTTGTTGACCCTTGTGTAGGAGCCTTACTAAAGCTGGTGAGGGTCACCCAAACGCTGACTGTACTACAGCTCTCCTCATATGCAGACATGGGTCCCTCCAGGAGCACACTGATCTTTTGTCTCGTCTGCTGTAATCCAAGGATTTTCGAGTCTCTCTCAAATGTAAGAGCTGAATGGTCATTTTATTTTTTTTATTTATGTATTTATTTATTTATTTAGACCAGGCTGGCCTCGAACTCACAGAGATCCGCCTGCCTCTGCCTCCCGAGTGCTGGGATTAAAGGCGTGCGCCACCACCGCCCGGCCTGAATAGTCATTTTACATAACCTATTATTTGACTTAAACCTCAGGTAGGAAGATCTAGTGTGTTCATTCTTGAAAAATGTCAGTGTCACTCAAGAATGGCTGCCCAATATGAGCTGTTTTTTGTTCCATAGGAGGGGATGCCCTCCTGCTGGTCCTTTTGCCTCATTCACCTGACAGCTACTCTGGCCTGGTGTTGCCTGTGGGAAGCAAAGGGAATTGACTACCCCAAGGGACCAGAGGGTTGAGGGGAACTAGGCTGTGATTCCCTGGGCTAGCCTCCAGGGAATGGGTTTGGGGCTTGAGAAACTTGATGGCAGTCCCTGGCTCAGAAATGTCCCATCTCGCCCAGTTTGCTCTGCTCAGGTGCTCTACCCCCACTCCCAAATCTCCTTAGAGTCTTAGAAGCTGTTTCCCCATACGCTGCTAAAAATGGAAAAGAGTCTACTCTTCAGATGGTCTGTGGAGACTGAGGAGCCAGGCTTGTGCCTCTGGAGGGTTTGCACTGGCTGCAGGCCCAGCACTGCCAGGAGAACACCCAGGGCAGGCTTGGCTTCTTGAGAGGCTGGCTGTGATTCACAGGTCTGACGTTTATCTATCTAGAAACCAAGAGGTCTGGCTTTGTGCACCCTTGGACTTCTGTCAGGTAGTAGACCATGTCCTGTTCTCATCCCTGCTGACATCACACGTTGCCTAAGGTCACCACAGTGATGAATGTGGCAAGGACCAGTGTTGGCAGGTATTCCAGTTCACAGCAGCTTTTACTGTGAAAAGCCATCTGTTTTCCTTTCTCACAAGGTGCTATACTTCTCGTTCAGGACAAATCTGTAGTCAAACTCGAGTTTAAAAACTTCTTAAAGGGCTGCTGAGATGGCTTACCCAGTAAAGGCACTTGGTGCCAAGCCTAAAATCTAAGTTCAGTCCAAGGACCCACATGTAGATGGAGAGAACCAATGACTGCAAATTGTCTTCTGACATCCACAGTGGCATGTATACAAGCACAAATACACATAAATTTAAGCTCTTGTGTCTGGATATGATGATGATGGTTCATGACTGTCTTAGCACTTGGGAAGCTGAGGCAGGATTGATACAAATTCAAGGTCCATTTGGCCTACATAGTTTGTTTGTTGCAAGCCTGTTTCAAATCACCAGAGCACATAGTCACATAGGTCACGGGTGCTTGACAGTAAGACTGGCCAAACAGCTGGGAGGAGGGAGGGTAGGTGCTGTCACCTGAGGATCCACCGATGCCAGCAGCTAAGTGGGTAGGTATTTTTTTCTCTGCTTCCTGACCCCACCCTGTTCATACTCTGGCCTTGTTTCTGCATCCTTGTGGGAGCCTTTCTGCTATTCTTAAGTTAAATAATAAAAGTTGAGTTAAATAATAAATAATAATAAATCAATCCTAGTACTTGGGAGGCTAGGGCAGGAGGACTGCTCAAGTTTGAGGGCAGCCTGGGCTATGTAGTGAGTTCCAGGCTTAATGCCAGAGACTGACTTGCAGCCTCTCAGAGGCCCACAGGACAGGCGAGGGCTTAGCTGTTGAGTAGGGAGGAGGTGGCAGCACAACCTCCCTCCCCAGCTCCCAAATCTCTCTTGTCAGAAAAGGTCTGATGAAGCTGTCAATTTGCAGCCTGGTTTGATTCATCCCTCCCCTCTGGGCATAGTTGGCTCTGTGGTGCTCTTAAATACAAACTCTGGTTCCTGGAAGGAGCTGCAGAGGAAGGGGGACCTCGGGGCTCTATCTCTTCACTCTTCCATCTAGGTCACCACCTTCCACAGTTTCCAAAGGCTTGTTCTCCCTCCCTTCTGATAAGATTTCAGTGGCCCTGGGTTCCATGCTGCACAGATACTGTCACAAAGAGGGTGACTGCCCTTGGGGCTGGCTTCAGCCTGATCTCCTGTCAGCTGCTGTTGAGGTGGCACTTAACTGCATCAGCCACCAGGAAAGGCACATCGGCCACAGGCTTTGGGTCTGGTTTACCTCTTGTTGCCTTGCTTTGCTCTTGGTCTTTGGCTTCGTTGTCTACACAAAGCACTGTCCTCACAGCCCAGCACACCTTGTAGTCTTCTTTCTCTCACCCCTTACCCAGCTTTGTTTGCTCTTTTGGAGAAAGTAGTTGGCTTTCAGCTCCTCCATCAGAACCTCAGAGCCATGGCACAGGGCCATTGTGCTGCCCACCCTTCCCTAGGGTACCCCTGTCAGGCATGTGACTGACTGCATCGTCTCCCCTCTCTCTCCTCTCTGCCCCAGATCAGTGGACCATCCCCTGCCCGGATCCTCTCTCTCCACAGACTTTGGCAGCTGGCAGATGGTAACGGGCTGTGGCAGTATTCAGGAACGGCCTGTCCTGCACACAGACTCCTCTCTCCCTTTCAGCTTCCCGGATGAGCTCCCTAACAGTTCTCTGTAAGTGTCTTGCTTGAGAAGGCAGGATACTCCCCTGCCCATGTCAAAAGCTGGAGAGCAATCAGGAGTGCTGGTCAGGAGTGAGGCAGAGGCTGACCAGAGGGAGCAGCTCAGGGTGTCTGCCCCTCCCCATTTGTCTGCAGCCTCTGGATCCCCAGGGTTGAAGGACGCCTGTGGCAGCTCAGCAAGTGCATTAGGCTTCATGTTCACTCTTCTCAGCTCCCAAAAACCCATCCACAGATGTGTCGGGTATGCCCTGAGGGAAAGCTAACTGGACTATAACTATAGAGGATTCTATTTATGTGTGAGGCTTTGCCTGACATGAAAATCCTTAGAAAGCTGAACAATGGGGTAGGAAGCTAGGTGTATGTTGAAGACCAGAACAAAATGGCACTGGGTTATCCTGGCTCTGCAATCCAAGCAAAACCAAGAGTTACTTTCCACCCCCACTCTTCCACTTTGCCTCAAGACAAAAAATAAGGACTTATGGTACTGCTAGATCATATACATGCCTCTCCCTCAAGGGAAACCACATGTACCCTTGCCATCTTTGGTGGCTGGTAGATGTCAGACAGGAGAGACCCTCCAGTTCATGGGGAGTAAGGCCTGTTCCTCAGATGTACCTACACAACTTGTAAACTTTCCCTTGAGTAAACTTTCCTTCTCACTACCAGCCGTGTTGGGATGGCTTGAAATTCTAGGGACTCGCCCATCACCACTGCTGGTGACAGTTAACACCCAACCCTTTGCTGTCTAAGTGGAGGCAAGTTACTCTGGAAATAGGGAAAGATGAGGGTCCACCTGAAGTCAGGCTGGGGCTAGACAGACACTAGGATACCTGGATAATACTTTCAGATCCTAGCCCTGAAACTGGGACGTCACCTTAGGGCTTCCAAATCCATTGTTTAGTCCCGCCTCCCTGGAGTCAGGCCCCAATCCATCCACAAAGATAGATCTTAGATTATTTAATGTGTTTTTGAGACAGGATCTCTAGCCCAGTGTTGGATATAGTAGTACTCAAAGGGCACCTTGAACTTATTTTCCATCCAGCCCTTATTATACCTCCTGAATGTTGAGGTTACAGACATGTGTCCCCAAGCCTGGCTTATGTGGTGGTCTGTTTCATACATGCTAAGCAAGCACTCTACCAAACAGGCCACATCCCCAGCACAGTTTTGGAGGATAAAATGAAAATCCTTAGATGTTTCTATAAAGAAGTGTTGCCGGGCGATGGTGGCACAGGCCTTTAATCCCTGCACTCGGGAGGCAGAGGCAAGCACACGTCTTGAGTTTGAGGCCAGCTTGGTCTACAGAGTGAGTTTCAGGACATTCACAACTGTTACACATAGAAACCCTGTCTCAAAAAAACAAATAAGTCTTCTCCTGCCAGACTGGTGAGAGAATCCTGTGGAGACAGCGTGGACCACCCCCTGCCCTGCTTGTCAGTACCCCTCACCTCAGAGGAGCAGGCAGTCACAGCCCCAGATCATCTAACCTAGAACCTACAAAGCAAGCCTCATGCTGTCTCTGAGCTGCTAGCCAGGCCCCCAGATCTGGGGAGTTCTCAAAGAACAGAAGATTCTGTGATCTCAGAGCCTCCAAGATTGAGATGGAGTCTCTGTCCTTGAGGAAGCAATCTAAATCGTAAATGCTTAGTTTCCCCATGTTTGTCTTGAAATCTTGGCCTTGACTTTCCCAAGCCTGTTGGCCTGCTCTTGAGAGAGAGAGACGGTTGTTGTACCAGCTACATTGCCCACTTGTGTACTATGTACATCAGTCTGTCTCAGCTGGTTTTCTTGTCTCTAATCAGATCAGTCTTTGTCCCTTCTGTTGCCTGAAGGTGAAGGGCTAGCTATGTGAATACACATGTAGACCCCCCAGATAATCCTTATTCCTTGTATTATGTGGATACAGCCTTTTCTCCACTGAACCTGAAGAGAAGCTGAGAGACTTGCACAGGGCCTCCAGCCTGGGAAAAACCTGATTAGAAAGGTTCAAGGACACGTCTCTCCCCACAGTGCCAGCAGAGCCCTCAGGGCTGCTCCTGGATTGCAGGGGTTGGCATCACCTCATTTTCCTTGTGCTGCTGTTGGATTGGTTTGACTTTGCTTTGCCCCTGCTGCTCTCTTCTGCCTTTCACAGACAACTACCACCAGCCTACTTCCCTAGGGACTTTCCTGTCCTCCCCCTATTGGCCTCAAGACTGTCCTCTATTCCCAGACTTCTGGTTCCCTAGGACCTAGGCTAACTAGGAAAGGGATGTTGCTGTTGCCTCTGACAGTATCAGGAAAGGATTCTCCAAGGATGGCTTCCAGAAAGCAGAAAGTTGGGATGAGTTAGTGTGGTCCTTGTTGGTCTTCATGCCATGGCTGTGGAGACTCATCTGGTCTGTGGCCCTTGAAGAGGCAATCCAGCAAACCCTCTAGCAAAATGTCTGCATATACCTGACCTTGAGTCCAGAGGATGGGTGCAGGTGATCATCTCAAGCCTCTTCTGTTAGAGACCCTAGGGCGGCAGACAGCCCCACGTGGAATTCACACATAAGCTGGAGTTGTGTACGTGTCTTTCCCCTTTTGACCTGTAATTCCAGACAAGAGTGAGACTTTTGGTCTGCCTTGATCAGTGCCCTAACAGAGCAGGAGAAAGAACGAGAACAGCACCTTTCCAGCTCTTCACCTGAGAAGCCCCAGGACTGAGGTGCAGCTGGAGCCCAGGCTTTCCACTGGGAGGTCCTGGCCTCTTAGGGCAGCTGGTTTTCCTGTGACCAAAAGCTCCCTCCAGAAGGTGTCTGGTTCTAGCCACAAGAAGGCTATAGTCTGCCAGCAGCTGAGTCCCGCTGCCATATCTTGGGTGTCTCCTTACAGGCAGGCACACAGCTTGTGCCTCAGCTTGTTCTTAGAGGGAATGGGAACCAGCAGGTGTCGGAGCTAATAATTCCACTGCTTAGCTCCCCTTTCCCACCACCAGAATGACTGTTTGCCCAGCAGAAAGTAAAGCCGGTGCTCCAGTAAGTTGTTCTGCAGTGGAAGAACAGACAGAACTGAAACTTGTTTACTGTGTAAGGAAATATATGTGGAGTCCGGGCTACAAGCTAGATGCTGACTTGGTGCAGTTGAAGTTTGAGGTTAGGCCATGTGAAATGAGGTTATTGGATCCTGTCCTGTGGTAATCTATTCCCCTCTCTCTCTCCTTCCCCTACAGACTTACAGCTCTGAGTGACCGGGAGACACGGCTGCAGGAGGTGCGCTCTACCTTCTTGGCTGCATACAGCAGCACAGTGGGGCTTCGGGCAGTAGCCCCCAGTCCCTCTGGTGCCATCGGGGGCCTGCTAGAACAGTTTGCCCGTGGTGTTGGGCTCCGGGGCACAAGCACCAGTGCCTTGTGAAGTTGACAGCACACAGCCGTTTCCTGCTCCTGTCGCAATTGAGCCGTCAGTGGAATCAAGCCATGCCTGGCAAAGGGGCACTTGGAGAGCAGAGGGAAATCTCACACCCTCCTTCTCTGAGATGCACATGGCAGCCCCAAACCTGAGCAGGCCTGAGGATGGGATCTTCTAGCTCCCAACCTCATGACTGGTGACCACTCGTCACTGCCTCCCTCCAGCCCTGGTCTTTGGATTCCTATCAACTCTCAGAACTGTTTGGGGTTTTCCTAGGGCCTTGGAGAGGCCATAATGTTGTAAAAACCCCATTCTGCAGTTTTTGTTTCCTGGGAAGGAGAGTCACCTGCACTGAAAAATGAGACAGTTTCACACCAATCACAAAATAAAAGCAAGGTCTTTTTTGAATGGCTCTTGTCTGGCATCTCATGTGGTTGTGACTGTCAGAGCTGCTCAGAACCTTACTGTCCTCTCTTGTGCTGGATGAAGGTTTTGAGACTTTGGGGAGTTGTGATGCAGGAAAAAGCTGTACCTGGGTTTGTCTTCGTTTTCTGTGCTGGGGACAGATATGTTTATGAGAGGCCAGATACTCTACCACTGAGCCAAATTTCCAGTCCCCATCAGTCAACTCAAGCAATAAAGGGAAGCATATGAATTCATAAACCTGAGATGGGAGATGGGTCAACAGGCCTGAGTGAGCTTGGTGACAGCCACTATTCATCTGTGTAGGTCTGAATGTGGACTTTCCATCTTTAGCAGGTTCTGAAGCAACTGTCCTGGGATGAAAGATCTGGGCTAATTAATAGAGGGACAGGCTTCTGGGCTATGGAGGCAGCAGTGGACACACATGGAGGGGAGGGGAGTCTGGGTTTTTCGGAGGGGAGGATTGTTTTTCGAGACAGGATTTCTCAGTGTAGCTTTTGGAGTCTGTCCTGGAACTCGCTCTGTAGACTAGGCTGGCCTTGAACTCAGATCTCCCTGCCTCTACCTACCTCCCTAGTGCTGGAATAAAGGCATTGCACCAGCACCACCAGACTGGGGGGTCTGCTTTATGAGTGTCAAATTTCAAAGGCATCAAGCTAAGGGTTTCATAGAGTCCTTCACCATTCACTGATCCTCTCACACCTGTCCTGGGATGGAAACCAGGGCTTTGCATACAGTAGACAGTGCTGTCCAATGAGCTATGTCCCCAGAGCCCTGATCTGACAGGCCATCAGTGTGAATACCCACAAGTTACCAAGCCTATTAAAATACCCCAATAGTACCCCAGTAACTGCTATTAGGGCCTTAAGCACTAATACTGAATAACTTGCTCAAGGTCACATGGATATTAAGGGGATAATGAATCTTCCAGAGAGGAAGGTGGGCCAAGAAGAGGGAAAGGAAGAGATGTTGAGAGCCCCTAAGAAACGGAGGTGACCAACTCCTACATGCCACCCCAAATGTTTCAGGACCATGGATAGTACTGATCTTTTCAGCACTCCCGAGGTGGCTCCAGAGGAAGTGTAGGTCAGATCTGGGGTCTGGGTGAGGTTTCCAACCAGCTCCTGGCTGCTCCAATGGGGCGGGGGCCGCCTGCAGGGCCGGGCGGGGCTGTGCTGCCATCTGGAGCCGCTGCTGCCAGCGGCCACTGTCAGGGCGCGAGCAGCGGAGCGCACACAGGGCTGGAGAGAGCACCGCTGCCTTGGCACATGGGCCGTCCTCACCCCTAGCTCAGGTGGCTGGGGTCTCGCAGCCAACCCCCACCCCCACCCCCGCGACTTTGGCCACTGGACCAGCCATGTCTCTCAGCGGAGCCTCGGAGCGCAACGTCCCGGCCACCAAGATTGAAATTACTGTGTCGTGCCGGTGAGCGGGCCATGCTAGGGAGGGCTTAAGTACTGGCAATGCCCCAGCCCCACACAGCTGTAGGCTCGGTGTGGGCAAGGGGCTAGACCACAGAGGGGGCCACCACAAGCGGGAAACAGAACCAAGGCTGAAGGCGGGAGTCACTGACAGGATGGAGGGGGGGGAGGTCTCCCTGGGCAGCCCCACCCTATAAAAGCGGGCTCAAGCCTACCACCTCAAAAGGTGGGCTGCAGGGATTTCTTAAGAGCTAGACCACAAGGGGCCAAAGTTGTGGGGCGAACCGCCTTCCTGGACCCTTGGAGACAATATGAGCATATATGCAGCCAATTGGCAGAGATTTCTGGTGTTGTCCCAAATGCTGACAGTGTGGACCCCAACACTCACTGGGGATAGTGATAGGAAGGGAGTACGATTTAAACCCCATGTCCCTTCCAGATGCCTAGTTTAGGACTGTGTCAAGGTGGTGGGCTGCAGAATGATGTAGCCCTCTGTCCATCTGTTTGTTGCTTTTCTCTAGAAATCTGCTAGACCTGGACACCTTCTCCAAGTCGGACCCCAGTAAGCGGCTCCAGGGCCTGGAGGAGGAACCCGGGGTGTAGGAGCGGGTGGGGCGGTAAGGGGTGCGGGCCGACCTGACGAGCTTCCCTCCCCTGCCCCCACCCGCAGTGGTGGTGCTTCACACGCAGAGCCGGGCCAGCCAGGAGTGGCGGGAGGTGAGTCCCAGAGTCCCAGCCTAGCTCAGGGCCGCTCCCGGGAACCTCCAGCCCGGCTGCCCGTGCTCATCCTCCGTCCCCCCGCCCAGTTCGGACGAACGGAGGTGATTGACAACACTCTGAACCCAGACTTCGTGCGCAAATTCGTCCTCGACTATTTCTTTGAAGAAAAGCAGAATCTCCGCTTCGATGTGTGAGGCTCCTAGAATCCGGTCTTGGTCTACCGCCCCTCCTCCCAAACCTGGATCAGTTCGGAATTCTGCCTGGTCCCCCACCCCCATCCCCACCTTCCTACCTGGCTCCTCCCCCAGGCCCTGGACCCTCGCCAAAGGGCATCACTCTGGTCTTAACTCCGCCCCCACGCCCAGGTTGGCTCCGCCTTAGAAAGGATCCGTCCAGTTCCTCCCCAAGCCTGACCTACCCACAACCCGCCACCTAATTTAGCTCCACCTTGACCTTGGGCCCCCTCCCCCACCAAGCCTCCACCTTGGCTTCACCCCAGGCTTGACCCTCTCGACCCTTACACGCACGCACGTCCCAAACCAGACCCAGGCTCAACTGGGGTCTACTGCCCCTCTTTTCACCTACAATTTTAACCAAGACTAAACCTAACCTCTTCCAGACTTTCTCTCACCCATCCCCACCCCACACCGGTTCCACTCTCTTTTCCAGGTACAACGTTGACTCCAAAGCCAACATCTCCAAACCGGTAAGCCTGCAGCAACTGGCATGTTGCCTGGGCACACAGAGAGGCTAACCTGTCAACGGACTTCCCTCTCCCCCTCCCATCATCCTTCACCAACACACCAGCCCTTCTTAGGTCCTGGCCTCTCTGACCTCCCTCCTACCAACCCCAACCCTAGCTCCTCCCCTGGTCTGCTCCAGCCTTATTCACTGCTGTTCTTCCTTCCCTGCCTACCTCCTGGAACCTGCAGAAGGTAAGAATTTGATTGGGAGCTCATCAAGAAGCAGAAAACATGTGGGGCTTTGGCAATGGCCCTCTGTGACCTGCACTTCAGAGTTATCTTGGTCAAGAGCAGCAGCATCACCGGGTGGGCTTGGTTGGCACTCAGTGCCCCCCCCCCATCTGGCTGACTCCCTATCTTGGCACAGGACTTCTTGGGACAAGCGTTTCTGGCCCTTGGAGAAGTGATTGGAGGCCAGGGCAGTCGAGTGGAACGACCTCTCACGTGAGCTGAAGGGAAAAGGTTCCAGGGGAGGGAGGGTCTCTCTGAGTTCACCCTTCCAGGAAGACTGCTGGCAGAATGGCTGGTGGGACTGCAGAGAGTGTCCCAACAGGAGCTTTGCCTAGCTCGTTTACTCCTGTAGAAAGTTGGACTCTGTTCAAATCAATCTCAGGCTGGACCTGTTTCCTCTTCATTCTTTTTCTAAGTTTGATCCGATCTTTAAAGCTTTCTCCCAAGCCCTACTCCATCGGGAAGCTTCCTGGAATAGATCAAACCCTCAGGTCTTGCCACTATACCCGGGTGCTCACTAGACTGTGCATTAGGCGTGTTCCAAAGCCTTGCCCTGCTTGAGGACCCCCCAGATTCTGCCCCTGGACAAGCCTCTGTCTCCCACTGTTCCATGGGCTAAAGTTGCCCAAGTGAGCCAAGCTAGTTGGAGGAAGGAGGTGGAAATGAGTGCAAAACAGACAGCAGACACAGCAAACAATCAAAGAAGAGGGGCGCCGGAGAGCTGGTGGAGGAGAGAGACATCATCTTCAGTCGTTTGGGCAGCTGGAAGGCTAGTAACCCTGGAGCAGTACCTGAAGGTGAAGAGTGAGTTCTGTAGGCGGAGAGGAAACAAGCCTAATCAACCTACATCAGAGCAAACCGGCCAGTGTAGGTGGAGCCAAGAGAGGGACAGGGCAGGAGGCAGATTGGGAAGTTCCCAGTCAGGCCCTTTTAGCTTTCACTCTGAGACCCGTGTCTCTGTGAGGTTCTGAGCATGAGGAGTGCCGTCCCCTAACTATGCTGACCACTGGGTTAAGAATGAACCCTATGTGGACAAAGACAGAAGCAGATGGCAATCAGAAAGCAGCCATTGTACTCCAGGGAGGAAAATACAGTGGATGGGAAGCTGGTCAGATTCTGGATGTACTCTGAAGGGGGAGCCAACAGATCCAAAACCCATGAAATACAGTAAGCAAAGGAAAGAGGCCAGGGCCTGCATCCCACCTGGGCAGCAGGAAAGATGAAACTGTGCTACCAATTGAAATGATTTGTTTGGGGGTTTTGGTTTTAAAATGAGTATACTGCCATGCATGCTGGCCCACCCCTGTAATCCCAGCACTCAGGATGCTGAGGCAGGCAGGTTGCCACAAGTTGGAGACCTGCTTAGGTAACATAGTGAGCAGCAGGCCAGGCTGTGCTACACAGTGAAACTTTGTCTTGTCAGAGAGAGAGAGAAACAGAGGCAGAGAGAAAATCTGAGCCAGTTTGGAGGGCTGGTTCAGCATGGACCCATGTTCTATTAGATTCCAGGGGTTTTTTGTATGGTTGGTTGGTTTGTTTGGTTTTTGGTTTTTGTTGTTTTGTTTTGTTTTTCTTGAGACAGGGTTTCTCTATGTAGCCGTAGATATCCTGGAACTCACTTTGTAGACCAGGCTGGCCTCGAACTCACAGAGATCCGCCTGCCCCTGCCTTCCAAGTGCTGGGATTAAAGGCATGCGCCACTACCACCTGGCATAGATTCCAAGTTTTAAGATCAGATTCCCAGGCTCACATTGCAAAAAAATAAAATAAAATAAAGTTTTTATATTTTTTTGAAGAAAGGTACTGGAGTGTAGCTCAGTGGTAGACCATATCCTTAATATGCATGTGGGCCTGAGTTTGATCCCAACACAATAAAAGGAAGAAAGAGGAGAAAGTAGAGAGGGAACCAACCACACTTAATGTTGCTATAGCTCAAATAAAATAAGAATTGGAAATTACCTTTATATCACTGCTGGATGACAGGAGGAGGTAGAGGCTAGAGAATTTTAGAAGGTGGAAAGGGGGCATAGGAGCCAGAGAAATTTCAAGGAGTTTTTGCTATAAAGGGAGAAAAAGAGATGTGTATATAGCAGACCTGGGGTCAGGAATAGATTTACAGGGCTGGTGACACGGTTCAGTGGCTAAAAACGTTTGCCATTATACTTGATGACCTACATGATAGAAGGAGAAAACCAAATCCCACAAGTCATACACAATGTAAAATGATGCTCTATGTAGCCCTACCTGTCCTGGAACTTGCTCTGTAGACCAGGCTGGCCTCAAACTCACTGAGATCCACCTGCCTCTGCCTCCCAAGTGCTAGGATTAAAAGTGTGCACCAGCACCGCCTGGCTTAGATTCCAAGTTTTAAGATCCTAGTAATCCCAGCACTTAGGAGGCTGAGGCAAGTTTTGAGGTTCAAGATCAGCCCGGGCTACATCATGAGAACCTTTCAAGAGAAAAGAGATTTGTAATTTTTTAAATTGTTTTTAAATTAGCATGCAGAGTAATGGGCTTCATTGTATCATCTTTGTACCAATATTTAGGTCTGTAGTTTGTGACATGAGAAAAATCTCACCACATTTGTAATTTGAAGTGCCTGGGCCAGTAGAGACTGAGACACTAGTGGAGTAAACGGAAGGGGAAGCCAGGCGGGTGTGGCAGCTCGTGCTTATAACCCTAGCTCTCAAGAACAGGAGGACTGCCATGAGTTTGAGGCCATCCTGGTCTGCACAGTGAGTTCCAAGTAATCCTTAGCTATAAAGAATCTCAAAGAAAAAGAAGGAGAGCATCGCTGGTGTCCTCGTGCAGACTAAGAGCGGATGGTAGGATAGTAGCTAGCAGAGGGTGAAGAATCACGTGACAGCTCATTTATAGCAGCTGTAGGAAGGCTCAGCCATGTGGGTGAAGATGCTGGTGGCAGGGTAGCATGGCGGTGGGTGGACCATCTCTTCTGGGTGCTTCAGTTTTGTCAGCAAGTGGGAAACCAGGTCACTGGCTGAGAGAGGATGGGAGGAGGCCCTGATGCTTGAGGGGAGAAGAGTGACTCTTCTGTGTGACAGAACTGGAGAGAGAGGCCATGAGTGCTCGGTAGGGTTACTGCGCAGTGATAAGGACGAACCTGAGGTTTGTGGCCATGTGTCTGAAATGGAGACTGGTTAGATCATGTGGCCATGCTCTACTGTGTGTGCAGTAAGAGTTAGATAGATTTGGAGTTAAACAGGGCTGCGGTTCTGCAAATTAGTATATTCAAGTCAGAGCAGTGCTGGGAAGGAGGCTGCAGTTCACCCTGGGTGAGAGGCCAAGGAGAGCGTGGCGAGGACACAAGGCGATGCAGTCAACAGCTGGTGGTTCACCGTGCTGGGTACAGCTCCATCCACAGTACACACCATCTGTTAAAGTTTGCAGGGTCAGGATTTGAAGGAACTAAAAAAGGTAGCCGGGAGGTGGTGGCACACTCCTTTAATCCCCAGATTCAAGAGGCAGAGACAGGTAGATCACTGAGGCCAGCCTCTACAGAGTGATTTCCAGGATGGCCAGGGCTGCACAGAGAAACCCTGTCTCAAACACACACACACACACACACACACACACACACACGGAACTAAAAAAGCAATTCTTTTTATTTGTTTATTATCCTTAATTTTGCCATCGTTGTTGTTTGAGACAAGGTTTCTCTGTGTAGCCCTGGCTGTCCTCCTGCCACTCACTCTGTAGACCAGGTTAGCCTTAAACTCAGAGATCCACCTGTCTCTGCCTCCCAGTGCTGGGATTAAAGTCAGACATCACCATGCCCAGCTGAAACAGTTCATTTTATTTTATTTTGATTTGTTTGTTTGTTTCTCCAAGTCCAGGCTGACCTTGAAGTCTCTTTGTAGAGGAGACTGGCCTTAATTTCTTATCCTGCTGCCTCAGTCTCCCAAATGCTAAGACTGCAGGCATGTATCACTACATCACATTTTATTATTATTATTTTTATGAGACAAAGGTTTTTTAATTTTATTCCATGTACATTGGTGTTAGGGTGTCAGATCACCTGGAACTGGAGTCATAGGCAGTTGTGAGCTACCATGTGGGTGCTGGGAATTGAACCCGGATCCTCTAGGAGAGCAGCCAGTGCTCTTAACCGCTGAGCCATCTCTCCAGCCCTGAGATGAGGTTTTTATGTAGCTTTGGCTGCCCTAAAACTTGCTTTGTAGACCAAGCTGGCTGTAAACCTAGATGATCCTCCTGGCTCCTGAGTTACTGATGTTGTAGGTGTGGCTGTCATGCCCAGCTGAACTCTCTCACTTTAAAGATGGGGAAGTCACACAGCAAGTTAGGGCCAGGACTTGAACCCACAACTCTCCTTTTTTATTTTTTATTTTTTTGTTTTGTTTTTCTGGGTTTTTTGTTTTTGGTTTGTTTTGGTTTGGTTTTTTGAGACAAGGTTCCTCTGCATAGCTTTGGAGCCTATCCTGGCTCTCTGTAATCCTATTACTCTGTAGAGACAAGGCTGGCCTCAAACTCACAGAAATCTGCCTGCCTCTGACTCCTGAGTGCTGGGATTAAAGACGTGTGCCACCATCACTCGGCTCCTTATTTGTAAGGGGGCAGGCATACATGTGCCATAGAGGTCAGAGGAAAACTTGTGGGAGTTGATCCCCTTCTTCCACCAGGCATGTCCTAGGAATCAAACTCAGGTTGGCAGGCTGGGTAGCAAGTACCTCCATCCCTTTACCTACTAACTCACTTTGCCAGTCCTGGGGATTCTTGGACTAGCTTCCCTGAACACTCTGAATCCCTTCGGGAATCATGATTCACAGGCCTCTATCACAGGGTCCCTTAATGCTTAGGGACCCAGGCAAATCAGGAATGAGGAGCCCTGGATCCACTCTTTGTGCACAGGAAAATGTCCCTTTGGGGAGCCAGGAGAGAATAAAGCTTCTTGTGTCTTTTTCATTTTAAGTCCTGTGTTGTTTGGGGAGTAGAGATGGGGTTGTTACTGCTTGCAGTTTGGTCTTTTGCTTTGAGACATGGTCTTGCTATGTATCCTAAGCTGACCTAGAACTCACTGTGTATCCCAGGCTAACAGCAGGCTCACAGCAATCCTCCTGCCTTAACTTCACATGTGCTAGAATTATAGGCACGTGCTTCATGTCCGGTTATGTTTTGTTTGTTGAGACAGAGTCTGACTTAAGCAGCCTAGGCTAGCTTCAACGTTTTGATCCCCCTTCTCTGGCTTCCTGAATCTTACCTCCCATCTTCAAAAGGCAAAGCAAGATTTTGCATCTTGGCGTAAACAGAAATTCCTCTTCTCATTCAGAACTGTCCATAACACTCCACTGTCTATAGCATCTAGCAGGCCACACCCTAGAAGCTCCCCCAGAGCAGAGTCTGGCATATCTGCTGAGTGCCCACTGGCCCCTCCCAATCTAGGAGGCAGATTGGCCTGGGATAGGCAGTCAGGGCTGTTTGAAGAATGCATCCTTCACATGTACAAGGCTTACAAATCACTTGCCTTCCAGGCACTTGTTCAGATCCTTTTACAGCTGCCTGCCATCCCCATTTCATAGAGAGAAACAATGTCCTACAGGAGTCCAGCAGCTTAGAAACAATGACACACACCCGCAGTCTACTACATGCCTTTGCCACACTGCTGTTAATGTGATACCCCCTTGGCCAGTTTGCAGCAAATCAAAGCAGGCCTTTTCCCACCAGGAGCTACTCAGAATAGAAGTGGGGCATACTTAGGGGACTGTCAGCAAATAGAAAACTGGCCCACAGAAACCCAGACTGATCACCTCAACTCTCCCTTCTCTCTGTAAGGGGCCTTTTCTGCTTCCAGGGGTGTGCCGGGCAAGAAGTGTGGAACCATACTGCTGACTGCTGAAGAGCTCAGCAACTGTCGGGTCAGTGAGGACCACATACTAGACCACAGACTCCTTCATTTCCCAGATTCCCTCAACCAGCTGAAGGCTCCAGACTAGCTGGGTCTCAACAGCCCACTCTATCAATCCTTAGGACATTGCAACCATGCAACTGTGTGCAAACAAGCTGGACAAAAAGGACTTCTTTGGGAAGTCAGACCCTTTCCTTGTGTTCTACAGAAGCAATGAGGATGGCACGTGAGTCACCCCCATACAGCACTGAGGCTAGGAATGAGGTTCATGCTTAAAGAGTGGGAAATCTTGGGATCCTCTGTGGTCTCGGTGCCACTCCAAGGAAATTTCCAGTTTCCTGCGTCCCTCCAGGTTCACCATCTGCCACAAGACAGAGGTTGTGAAAAACACACTGAACCCAGTATGGCAGCCCTTCAGCATCCCTGTGCGGGCGCTCTGCAATGGAGACTATGACAGGTCTGACTCAGTATCAGCTGCTCTTTCAGGGGACCAGGACATGAGTGAGGCTCCCTCTGAAAAAAAAGGATGAGGTTCCTGAGTCCCAGAATGAGGACTAGTAGGTGAAAGAGCAGGGGAACAAATGAGCAAGCAGATACAAGGATAGATGGTCAGAGGGGCGGCTGAACTGGGAATGGTTGGGTGTGTGGAGAAACTGTGAATGGGTATATAAAGGGGTGGTGGGTGGGTAGAGAAGAAGATGATGAAAGCATAGAAAATGAACAGAAAATTCGACTGGTAGGTATATCAGCAGACGGAGAGAGATGGGCAATTAACAAATGGAGATGTGCTAACGAGCATGTGAGAGTTGATGAATGGCTGCAGAGCGGCAGACGCAGGAATGGAAAAGGACAGGTAGACTGACAAGTGGATTGATGGCCAGACAGATGAGTCAGGGATGGATGAATAGATGATGAGTGGATGAATCAGCTGACGGATGTGCGGAAAGGAGGTGGCTGACCCAAAGGAACTACTGAGTGAGTGGTACAAAGACTGGTGGGTGAATAGGGCACCTGAATGGCTGCTTATGCAAATGAGTGGCCAGACGTTAATGTGGTTGGGTATTTATTTGAGTAGATAGACAGGTGGGTGCTTGTATGTATTAGAGCTGGTGAATGGTGGGTTGTATGGTTTGATGGGTGAATAAAGGGGTAGATTAACAGGTAATTGTATTGTATATGAGTGAACGGATGGCTACATAGTTTGATGGATTGAACTTAATAGATGTGTGAGACGGGGGGCAGAGTCTTTGAATCCAGGAGTGGTGACACATGTTTGTAACCTCAGGACTCAGGAGGTTGAGGCGAAAGGATCTCGAATTTAAGGTTAGCCTGGGCTATACAGCAAGGTTGTTGAAGGAAAGAAGGAAGTTCCAGAAGGAAGGGAGAAAAAGATGAAGTGAGGGTAGGTTAAGTTCTCTGAAAACAGGATATCTGGATAGCTGATCAGGATATCAGCTCAGTAACTTCCTAGCTATGAAATCTTAGCCAAGGTACTTAAATTTCTGGGGTGAGGAGTAGGGTAAAATATATAACAACTTTCTTATAAAAACCACAAACAATAGTACTTACAGAGAATATTTGTTACATTAAATGAGACAGTCCGAAAGTGTTAAGAACACTGCCCAGAGTAAAGGGAGCGTCAAATGGCAAATACGTGTGGGGTGTGTGGGGTGTGTATGGTGTGTGTGTGTGTGTATGTGTGTGTGGTGTGTGGGTGTGTTTGGTGTGTATGATGTGTGTGGTATGTGTGTGGTGTGTGTGATGTGTGTGTGGTGTGTATGGTGTGTGTGTGTGGTGTATGTGTGTGTGGTGTGTGGTGCAGTATGTGTGTGGTATGTGTGTGATATGTGAGTGGTGTGTATGTGTGGTGTGGTATGTGTGTGTGGTGCGTGTGTGTGGTGTGGTATGTGTGTGGTGTATATGTGTGTGGTGTGTGTACAATATGTGGTGTGTGTGTGTGGTGTGTGTGGTATGTGTGTGGTTGTGTGGTGTGATATGTGTGTGATGTTGTGTGTGTTGTGTGGTGTGTGTACGATATGTGGTGAGTGTGGTGTGATATGTGTGTGTGTGGTGTGTGTGGTGTGTGTGGTGTGTATGTGCAGTGTGTATGTGTGTAATGTGTGTGTGTGGTGTGTGTGTGGTGTGGTATGTATGTGTGTGTGGTGTATATGGTGTGATGTGTGTGTGGTGTGTATGGTGTGATGTGTGTATGATGTGGTATGTGTGTAGTGTGGTGTGTGTGATGTGTGTGGTGTATGTGGTATGTGTGTGATTTGTGTGTGTGTGGTGTGTGCGGTGTGTGTGTGGTGTGTGTATGGTGTGTGTGGTATGTGTGTGGTGTGTGTGTGATGTGTGTATGGTGTGTGTGATGCGTGTGTGGTGTGTGTGTGGTGTTTGATGTATGTGGTGTGTGGTGTGTGTGTATATGTGTGTTTTCCATAACAACAGTAGTAACGAGGTCAGGTATGTGCATGAGCTGAATGAAAGGTGGAAAGTGGAAAATGAGCAGCCGACAGAAGGACAGATGGATGGGGGATGTCAGAGTACGGGGAAGTGGCTGGGGTGTCCTGGGGTTTGGCATGTACACACAGCCCATGTTTGGATTTATCATGTGCGTTTCAGAACAGTGAAGATTGACGTGTATGATTGGGACCGAGATGGAAGGTAGGTGCATGAGCTATGTGCTCTTTCTCCTATGCTCACTGGAGCAGTTCCTGGACCACGTGGTACATTCACTAGGAACCTCAAAGCAGCTCTGGGAGCCGGAAGGGTGAAGGCAGACACACAGCTGATCTGCTAGATAGCACTTTAGTACACTGTCTTCCAGCTTTTTCTTCCCTATCTAGCCCCACCCCCACTGCCCTGTAGCCCAAGTTAGGAACTCAGGCAATAAAAGCTCTAGGGTTCTGCTCTGGCTCAGTACCAGCAGCTGCTGCTTACCCACCCATGGCCTCATTGCAGCCATGATTTCATCGGCGAGTTCACAACCAGCTACCGGGAGTTGAGCAAAGCCCAGAATCAGTTCACAGTGTATGAGGTGAGGGCATGGCCCTGTTATTTTGCCAAGTGCTCTGTCCTGGGCAGCTGGGTATAATTGTCACTGTGACCATCCAATACTTAGGTACTTAACCCTCGGAAGAAATGCAAGAAGAAGAAATATACCAACTCGGGGACCGTAAGTATTCCCTGGACTCGGGCCTCCCCAGTCCTTCTGTTTTTAATCAGTGGTGACATGCATGACAAATAACAGAGGCAGGACATCTGGGGCATACGTCATCTAGGACAGTAACACTGAGGATAAGGTGATACCACTGAACTTTTTTGTTGTTGTTGTTTTCTCACCCAGAAAAATTTCCTATCCTACTTTTTCAGGATTAAAAAAAGTACCCTTAGTTGCATTTCCAAATTTAAAATGCTTTTAGAATCCCAGGATGCACCTGACAGCTTCTCCCTTTATTCTTTCAGAGACTAAGCAGGGTGGGAGCAGCTGGGCAGGCGTGGACACACATGTCCCATCATGCACTTTTCTCCAAAGCTGTACTAGGTTCCCTGTTTTGCCACCTCAGCTATGCTTGCAAAAGTGACAGGGTTGCCTCTTGTATTCCACAGGTGACACTCCTTTCCTTCTCTGTGGACTCAGAATTCACTTTTGTGGATTATATCAAAGGAGGGTGAGTCATGGCCAAGCCAGCAATGAGTTCTCTTGCTTGTGAATGGGCAGGTGTGTGGTGTGTGTGTGGTGTGATGTGTGTGTGATCACATCACACACATACCACACTGAACTTTTCTTCTCTGAATTTCACTTTTCTCCTATGTAAAATAGGTATTTTAGTTATTATTTCAGGACCATAGTGTTACTTACATTAAACTACACACAATACCCTAATCATGAAAATAATCCCTTAATTCTGCAAAGTGTGATGCATGGACCACACCAGTAGCAGCAGCAGTATTTGGTACTTTGTTGATACCATCAAGACTGCCCGGATTACCATCTGCAATTTAACATGGATTTATGTTTGGGAAATAGTGATGTTGTGGGTATTGGTCCCTCAGTAACCAACCCATCTACTTCTCCACTAGGACACAGTTGAACTTCACAGTAGCTATTGACTTCACTGCTTCCAATGGTGAGACATGGGTGAGACTGTGGGAATGGGCAGAGTCTAAGGGATTCTTTAAAGACTGGCCTAGATTCCTACCTGGGTGAAGACTTTAACTACCCAAAAATGCTACACTACGTAAAGCCAATCCAGGATGGCACTTGGACAGGTGTGATGGAGGGAAAGTACTGGGTGCCAAGGTAGGAAGAGGGTACAGGAATATGATGGGTATCTAATCAGGTAAGGTTGAAAGGCTAGCTTGCTCTATTAGCCAGCAAGGAAATGGACAGCATGGGAGAAAACGGAGTTATCAGGAGAGGATGAACAGATTGGTGGGTAGGTACTTACCAGGATAAATTAATAGGTAGTGAATGATTAATGAATGGACAAATAAATGAATGAATCATGGGGAGAAGGATTTGTGAATGAGTGCACTAGGGGCATGTAGGTGTGTGTGACTGCACAGGCAGACAGCTGTTGTTTAGGTTAAGGAAGTAACCAGTAAGCGCATTAGCTAGGAGAGTCTGGCAGGAGAACGGATCCATATGAACAGAGAATGGAATAGACAGGATGGCTGAATAGTCAGAATATCATAAAGGTGGAAAGGAAGAGAAATGACAGATGAGCAGGAGGCTGGCTGCATGGATGGGTAGATAGACGGGATGATACAAAAGCCGATGGATAGAAATGAGTAGATAGGTTGAAAACTGAATTCGCTGCCTGGCAGATGGGTTGGAGGATGTATGGGTAGACAGATGAGCGTGTAATACAGCATATAAAACATAGAGAAACAAGTGAGGGTTTCAAGAGGGGTATATGAACAGATGATGGAGTCACACACAGAATGAGGGAGTCCATAGGTAGAGGTAGATGGATACATACAAGGACGAGCAGGTGACTGTGAGGTCTGAGCTCCTGTGTCTCTACAGGGAACCCCCTGCAGCCCACCTCGCTACACTACATGAGCCCCTACCAGCTCAGCGCCTATGCCATGGCCCTCAAGGCAGTGGGAGAGATCATTCAAGACTACGACAGTGACAAGCTCTTCCCAGCCTATGGCTTTGGAGCCAAGCTGCCCCCAGAGGGGCGGATCTCTCACCAATTCCCCCTGGTACAGTATGGGCCAGAGCCTACACTCAGTGCCCCTCAGATAGATGACTGCTGTTAATGTGTTGTGAAGGGCAAGAGCCAAGGAGGACCTATGACATGGTGACAGGACAAGGAGATGGGGCAGTGTGGAGAAGAGCAAGCAAGGGTCTAGGGTGGGAGTGAGCTGGGATCAGAGCACCCCCGAGTGTCCTCTATGTGGGCTTAGCTGGGCTGAACCTCATGTTTTTTTGGCAGAACAACAATGATGAGGACCCCAACTGTGCAGGTATTGAGGGCGTGCTGGAGAGTTACTTCCAGAGTCTGCGCACAGTACAGCTCTACGGGCCCACCTACTTCGCTCCTGTCATCAACCAGGTGGCCAGGTAAGAGGACTGGGTGGCAGTGAGGGGGGAAATGATTGGACCCAGACACAGGCAGACACACTCTGAGTGAACTTAGACTTTGGAGGGAAGGGGAAGTATTCAGTGTACAGTGATCCAGGACCTGGTACCAAGATGGTACTCTGCTTGTGCTTAGAAAAAGTATCAAGAAGCATCCTTAGCTGCTGCTTGAGAGCCACATCCCAGGCCACAAGGTGGTCTTGATGGCCTTGACTTTGTCTAAAAGAGAAGAAGAGCTTGTGGGGCAGTGGTGAAGGCACCAGCTTTGCTATGAGACATAGCTGTCAACCTGGCACTAACCAGGTGACCTTAAGTAACTTGTTTTGTTTTTATTTTTATTTTCTTTTCTGAAAAAGGGTCACATAAAGGCCAAGCTGTTCTGGAATTTGCTAGGTTGGCAAGGCTGCCCTTGAATTCCTGATCCTCCTGCCTCCACCTCCTAAGTGCTGGGATTGTAGGTGTGACTCTACTATGCCAGCTAGCTTAGCCTCTGTTTTAGCCATTGTTCTATTGCTGTGACCATAACCAAGGAAACTCTTACCAAAAAAAGCATTTATTGGGGACTTGATAATAGTTCTAGAAGTTGTCCATTATCATCATGGCAGGGAGCATGGCCTGGCAGCACACAGGTGGACATGGTACTGGAGAAGTAGCTGAGACTTCTACATCTTAATCCATAGACACACAGAGAGGCATGCTTGCCCTGGTATGGGCTTTTGAAGCATCTAAGCCCACCCTCCCCCAGCCCCCCACCTCCCCCCCCATTTTCTCCAACAAGGCCACACCTCCAAGGCCACACCTCCTCCAACAAAGCCACACCTCTAATCTTTCAAATCCTTTCAAATAGAGCCACTCCCTGATGATAAACATTCAAATATATAAGCCTGGGGGGGGGGCATTCATTCAGCTCACCACTGGCTCTTTTTGTTTGTTTGTTTGTTTGCTTTTAGGTTTGTTTGTTTTTTTTAAAGACAGGGTCTCAGTATTTAATCCTGGTTTTCCTGAAACTCACTAAATAGACCAGGTTGACCTCAAACTCACAGAGATCCACCTGTCTTTGCCTTCTGAGTGCTGGGATTAAAGGCATGTGCCACCATTGCCTAGCTCTCTACCTTCTTTTCGTCTGTCTGTGTTTGGTACAAGATCTCACTATATCTATCCCCATATAGAGTCCAAGCGATTGGCCTACTCCAGCCTTCTAAGTGCTGCCATGACAGGCATACAACACTATACCCAGTAATATTAGCTTACTTGCGGAGTTATTATGAGGTTAGGTAGCAAAAAAGTTATTAGATAATGATGTAAGAGGCAACAGCATAGCATCTGACCCACAGAAGGTACAGATTAGATTTAAAACTATGCAAAATTTCGGAATAAACACAAGCAATGAATGAAAACCCAGATGTACCAGTCAGTTGTGTCGCACACCTTTAATCCCAGCACTTGGGAGGCAGACACAGGCAGATCTCTGTGAGTTTGAGGCCAGCCTGGTCTACAAAACAGGTTCCAAAACAGTCAGAACTGTTACACAGAGAAACTCTGTCTCAAAAAACAAACAAAAGGAAAAAAAAAAAGTAAATGCAGGGGGCTGGAGAGATGGCTCAGAGGTTAAGAGCATTGCCTGCTCTTCCAAAGGCCCTGAGTTCAATTCCCAGCAACCACATGGTGGCTCACAACCATCTGTGAGGTCTGGTGCCCTCTTCTGGCCTGCAGGCATACACACAGACAGAATATTATATACATAATAAATAAATAAATATTTTTTAAAAAGAAGCAAATGCAGAAATGGTGGCACACACTTATAATTATCTCAAACTCAAGGTCAGCCTGGGCTACATATAGACATCCTGTCTCAAAAACAAGACAAATTAACCATTACACACTGAATAAAAGAGATCTAGCTAAGGGGTCTGGAGAAATGACTCAGCAGTAAGAGCACTAGTCCTGAGTTCAATTCCCAGCAACCACATGGTGGCTCACAACAATCTATAGTGGGATCTCATGCCCTCTTCTGGCATAAAGGCATACATGCAGATAGAGCACTCATCCACATTAAATAACCAAGCAAGCAAATAAATAAATCTTTTTTAAAATATTTATTTATTATGTATACAATATTCTGTCTACATGTATGCCTGCAGGTCAGAAGAGGGCACCAGACCCCATTACAGATGGTTGTGAGCCACCATGTGGTTGCTGGGAATTGAACTCAGGACCTCTGGAAGAGCAGTCAGTGCTCTTAAACACTGAGCCATCTCTCCAGCCCCTAAATAAATCTTTAAAGCAATCTAGCTAAAACAATGAGTCTCAGAAAGCTTGGAAGTAAAAGAATGGGGGAAAGACAATAAATGCAAGTTGTGGGTGTACTCAGTTGTTAGAGAACTTGCCTCGCCTGCAGGAAGCCCTGGGTTCAATCCTCAGCACTCCATAAACTAGCACGGGGAAGTAGAGTCAGAATGATTAGAAATTCAGGTTCTTCTGAAGCCAGCCACAAAGTGAGTTCAAGGACAACATGGGCTACAAGTGACCTCATCTCAACAACAACAACAAAAAAGTAACAAAAATATATGGTTAAAGGCTTTTTAGTAAACTTCCCATTCCCTATAGAAGACTGGATTACTTTCTGGTGTATAGTGAGGATATTAGTTACTTTAATTGTAAAACTAACATAATATTCTTGCAGAAAACATTAAGGTCAGGGAAATGAAAGTTTTACATAAAAGCAGGGCATAGTGGCACACACCTTAAGTCCCAGCACCTGGAAAGCAGGGACAGGCAGATCTCTGTGATTTTGAATCAGCCTGGTCCACATAGTGAGTTCCAGGCTAGCTAGGACTACACAGAGAAATCTTCTCTCAAAACAAACAATAAAGGAAAACTAAAAGATGGAAGATGTTACAATCAAATCACATATAATATTTCACAAACAATTTTTGACACAAATTTTAGAATCTGTTCATTTCTGTTATTGTTATTAAACAGAATTCTTAGACATTACCTTGGGCAACTACACTGATTCATTCACTCATTTATTTAATAAACATTCATTTAAGGACGATTCTATCAAAAGTGTAGATTCTGGAGTAGAGTTAATACATCAGTGCTCACTCTTACTCCTCTCCCTCTCCTTCTCTCCCTCTCTCTCCCTCCCTCTCCCTGAGACAGGGTCTCCTGTATCCCAGACTGCAGTCTTCTGATCCTCTGCTTTTCTGCCTTCCAGTGTTGGGATTACAGGTGTGCCCCACTATACTCAATGTATGTGGTGCTGGGCTCAAACCCCCGGCCTGGTGTGTGCTAGACGAGCTACCAACTGAGCTGTTAGATCCAGCACATTGGTCACACAGTGTCACACACTGGCTGTGTGGCTTTGGTCAGTTCTCTTACCCCTCTGTAAAATGAGAATGCTAAGAATACTTACAATGCATGGTTGTTACGAGGACTCGTTAGCATACGTCAAGCACTCACAAAAGTGCTTGCCCTTGGTAAGTGCTATAACAGTAGTTATTGCTGTTCCTATTATTATCATTGCCACTATTCAAAGGGCAGCTGCTGTGTGCTCAGTGCTCTGCTGGGGCACTGGGGACTCACAGATGAATCGGATTTAGTCCTTGCCCTCGGGAGCTCCTGCCTTGGTGCAGGAGACAGAAATATAAATAAATCATCACTTCTGTAAGGCAAAGCTCCCCAGAAATTTCTAGCAAGTTGCCTGGTGGCAAAAGTAAGACACTGCATTCCCTGGGGGTATTGGGGGGAGATGGAGGACACAGCTGAAAGCAGTCAGACTGTGAGGGACTTTGAAGTCCAGTGTTTCATCCTACAAATGCATGCAAACTTTCTATTCTTCTCCCATTGTGTCTGTTTGCTCTAATTACTTTTTTTTTAAAAAAAAAAAAAAAAAGGAGCTTTGAGTGTACTTGATTCACTGGCTTCATCTACACATAGGACAATTCATTTTTAAATCCCCCTCAATACCCTCAGGGTTTGAAGAACCTCTTGGAGAAGCAGAACACCCATCTCAAAGGATGGGGCTGCATCCTAGAAGATAGGGGTACAGGTTACAGCAGGGCTGCTCAGCCAGGTCTCCAGGGCAAACTGGCCTTCATCAGCAGAGGGCTAGTCGGCCTGGCAGTGCTGACAGCCTGCGAAAGCACTAAGTGACAAGTTTGGGAGATGCTGGGTGCCCAGATGTAACAAAGACAGGTGATCACTTGGGGAAGTGTGCAGGACAGGCCAGGGCAGACACATGTGCTCACCAGCTTCTTTTACCCTGGAGACTGCCGCTTAGTGTTTCTGAACTTCAGCTTCCTCGTTTTAAAAATAGGATAAGCTAGGTGAGGTGGTGTACACCTGTAATCCCTGCAACTAAGAGTCCATGGCAATGGGTTTGTTGAGAGTTTAGAAGCCAGCCTGGGCTATACAGTAGTTCTAAGCCAGCCCATATAACTATTCTGTATAGTCCAGAGAATGATCTACAGTAGCCAGACTTTTGATTTGGAATGAGTTTATTATTAAGTAAATAGCAAAGTGGGTGGATGTTATGGTCTGAGCCTTTAGAGGCAGGTAGATCTCTGTGAGTTCAAGGACAGTTGGATCTACAAACTGAGTTTCAGGCCAGATGGGGTACCTGGTGAGACCCTGTCTCAAACAGCAATAAAAAAAACCACAAACAAACAAATAAAACACACAAACAAACAAAAGCATATACAGCAAGCAAAATTCTTCCTGGGTGCATGCTTAGCACAAAGCTCTGTTACCTCTGTTACCACACAGAGCAGGTTACAGTGACTATCTGTGGAATGAGCAATGTGATAAAAGGTAGCACGAGGCCAGACCTCCCATGAGCATGGGCTAGGATGCAGGAGTGCACAGGGCCTTCCGCAGCCACACCCACTCTGGACCTCAGCACACCTGCAGAAGCATCTGACTCTGCACTGTCACCGTGCCTTTCTCAATCCTCTGAGACCAGGGTAAGCACCAGCACTGCCTAAGAAAATGTCCTATAGTGATGGAAGTGGCCTACATCTATGCTCACCAATATAGCATTCAGCAGTCACATATGGAAAGGGAGCCCTTAAAGGTAACTAGAGTGACTAATGATGGAGTTTTTCATTTAGTTTAACTTAGTTGATTTAAATCTTCATATACACAAGTAAATAGGGACAATGCATTTGGCAGCACAGATCAGTTGTTTCCAGTTCACTTAGGATGTGAGACAGAGGTTGGGGGGCCAGGTAAAGTAAATGGGTAGACTGGGGATGTCTGAAGTCCTTTTCTGGATTCAGAGATAGATGAGAGAGGAAAGAGGGTGCTGATCCACTTGGTGAATCATTACTGTGATCCAGCAAACGAGAGGTGGAAGCAGGCAGGAGGATTAGTTACAAGACTGACCCTATCTTAAAATTAGATACAGAATGGAGAGATGACAGGCAAGGGCCAGTCAGGTCCAAAGACTGTGGGATCCAGAAGCCCATATGGTAGCTACTACTCTTATGGTGGCTGTAGAAGCAGGGTCTGAAATGTGACCAGGGACTCTCTGGTGGCCCCTGCACACCTTGGTCTCTCATGCAGGGCTGCAGCCAAGATTTCAGATGGTTCCCAGTACTACGTGCTGCTCATTATCACTGATGGCGTCATCTCCGATATGACACAGACCAAAGAGGCCATTGTCAGTGTGAGTCTGAGGAGGAAGGCCTGGGAGGGAAGGGTCACTGTCCATATTGTGAAGAGGCTGAGATGTTTACTCCATGTGTATCCTAACAACTTCACCTGCCAGTTTCAGAAATGCCTATTGGCTGAGGCACAAAGAACACTTGCTTGTGACTCTCTAGGTCCCAGCATGATGCCACCAGATAAACCCTCTAAGGAAACCAACTGAAGCAATGCTAGTCTTTTACAATCAGCCAGGAAGCATGCCTGCCCTTTGTCCTGGGAGGGAGGAGCCCCTTTTATGTTATTTTTTATCTGCTTTTAATTTAAGTTTTGTTTTGTGACAGGGTCTTACTATATAGATCCCTATATAGCCTAGACTATTCTGAATAATGGCAATCTTTCTGCCTCTTTCCAAGTGCTGGGGCTATAGGTGTGAGCCACCATGCCTTACTAGTTTTGTTTGTTGGTTTGCTGGATTTAGAGGGTTGTTTGTTTGGTTTTGGGTCCAGGTCTGACTATGTAGCTCGAGCTGGCCTGGAACTAGCTATAAAGACCAAGCTGCTCTTGAAATCACATGATCCTCCTGCCTCTCCCTCCTGAGTCTTGGAGAACAGGCATGTTATACTGTGCCTAATGTGGCTATTTTGCTGTCATTAGGGTTTGTTTTTGTTTTTGTTTTTTCATGATAGGGTCTTACACTGTACTCAGACTGGCCTAGAATTCATTATTTATTCATTATTTAACCCATGCTGCCTCAGTCCCATGTGTATTAAGATTATAGATGAAGGTCACCATGTCTGGCAGGAAAACCTTTTTTAAATGATACTGGAAATATTCAAGGTCAGCCTGAACTACAGAGTGAGACTTTGTCTCAAATATACAAACAAGATAATGGATATAAATCAACTAGCTATATGTTCTACCCAAAAGCACCCGCTATGCATTCTGAGATAATCTGGAACAAAAGTCTCAGTATCTTTGCCCACAGGAGCACATGACTCACAGTCACTGCCCTGTCACTGCTCTCCCCACAGGCCTCCTCACTGCCCATGTCTATCATCATTGTCGGCGTTGGACCTGCTATGTTTGAGGGTGAGTGAGTAGGAACTGGAGAGAACAGGAGGGATCTCGGCATTAGGCCCTCCTCACAGACAACAGACTGGCACCTTGGTGAACTCAAACATGTTTCCTCTCCATAAACATGGCTGCTGATGTTAACACTTTACTCTGCCTTCCCAGAAGGGGACATGCAGGAAGGAAAGCATAGTAAGGACAATGATAACAATCCCACACCACGTGGAGTGCAAGCATCAGCTCTCCCCATGAGGACTCGGAAGGGCTCTAATGGGGAAGGGGCAGAATGAGTTGGAGTTGAAAGACCTATCCAATGATGCCTGCCTGTCTATTCTGCAGCAATGGAAGAACTGGACGGTGATGATGTACGTGTGTCCTCCAGGGGACGCTATGCAGAGCGGGACATCGTTCAGGTAGCCCTGACAGTAGTGAAAGCCAAGAGAAATAAGGGGAAGGAAAGGCTTCCAAGGAGCCACTCCCCTTACTCTTTCCTAGTCACTTCCTGTCTCCCCTCACTCTTTAAAACCTTCCTCACTCAATGAGCAAGTTCCTTTTTTCGTTTGTTTGTTGTTGTTTTACTTATGAGACAAGATATTGTTAGATAGCACAAGCTGTTCTGGAACTCCTGATCCTCCTTCCTCAGCCTCCAGAGTACTGGATTTACAGTGCTGCAACATCACACCAGGTTCTGAACAGTTAGGGTGGATTAAGCGGGTTGCTGTTATTCTGAGGTTGTCGGTCCAGGAGGGCCAAGTCTCGGCCCTCTAGTGGAGACGACCAGTATTACACAGACAGACCAAGAAGCAAATGCTGCTGTTGTCAGCAACAGTTGTCAGGGAAGGCTTCTGTGAGGCTGTGATGTGGACATCGAGGTGAAACCTGAGGAAGGTGTCAGCTTCACAGGCAGAGAAGGAGCATGTAAGACCTGCCAGAGGCTCAGACTGGGCTGGCAGGAGGATCTGGCATGGTGAATATCTGAGGTTTGATGGTCAGAATTCATTCTTAATGATGTATCCATCCATGTATTTATTGTTTCATTTTGTTTTGTTTTAGATAGAACTTCACTATATAAAGAACTTCCTATGCAGCCCTGGCTAGCCTAGAGTTCATGGCAATCCTACTGCTTCAGCCTCCTAAATGCTAAGATTATAGATGTTTGCCACCATGCCCAGCTCAAACTACACTGTAAAAGGACTTCTCTGGCTGTTGCCCTGTGGTGTGCTGTGGTAGGGCCAGGGAAAAGCCAGGAATCCATTAGCAAGCAGCAAGGATGACTGGGAATGCGTGGAGACAGAACAGTGATGATGGTCAGAAGTAGTCAATTAAAGATGTATAGTGGCTGGGAGGCAGTTCCATTGGTAGAGTACTTGTCTAGTGTGCATGAGGCCTGGGTTTGATCTCCAGCACTGCATAAACCGAGTATGTGCTGGCAATCCAGCACTCAGGAGGTGGACACAGAAGGCTAAGAAGTCAAGGTCAGGTCAGTGAGATGACCTGATGAAGTGGGTTAGAGTCTAGGGATCCCATGTTAGGGGAGAACCCACTCTAAAAGTTGTCCTCTGTCATCCACAAGTGCACCGTAGCACACTCATGTCTGCATTCACACATTCACACTGAATACATAAAATAATAAAAACAATTATAAATAATTTTTCAAAGTTCAAGGCCATACAGTGAGTTCAAGGCCAGCATGGGCCTGTATGAAACCCTGCTGGAAAAAAAGAAAAATGTTTAAGAGCTATGCATGGAAGTGTGTGTGTGTACACCTGTAATTCCTGTATTCAGAAGCTAAGGGAGGAAGACTAAGAATCCCGTGCCAGCCTAGGTTATCTCAAAAGAATAACAAAACAAAACAAGATACTTAAGAACCTGTTACAAGACTTGATGACTTGTTAAGACAGTGATAAGGAATTGAATGGCAACTTCAAGAATTAGTCTTAGTTTTCTAGTGAGAGATGTCCCACTGACTGGGTGGGGGAAGCCAGAGGAGGGGATAGAGGAAGGCGATCTGGTATTCAGATCTGGTAACACTGGGCTTGGGGGATCTGTGATAACCGAATAAAGAAGTAGTGTTAGCAACTAAACACGTGGTTCTGGGTCAGGGTCAGGCAAAGTGGTTACAGCCCTAACTAGTTAGGAGGCTGAGACAGGAGGATCACAACACAGTGAGATCTCATCTTGAAACAAAACAAAATAAAAAGCCAAGGATAAAGGTAAATATGGGGCCCCAGGAGGTAATTCCTCCTTTTTATTTTTCCCTCCTTTTACCTACCTTCTTTCCCAGGCAAACTGTTCCTCCCCTTCCAATTGCAACAACTTTTCTTCCCTCCCACGGTCCACTCACTCTTTCCGAGCACTCAGGAGGCAAAGGCAGGTGGATCTCTCTGAAGCCAGCCTAGTCTACATAATGAGCAGCTAGGGCTACATAGAGAGACCCTGGAGGGGAGAGAATGAGTTCCGAGCACAGGAAGACCCAAAGGAATGGGAGCTGAGATGGAGTACAGCTTCCAGAAAAGTAGAAGAAAAGAGTGTGGTGTCAGGCGTGGGATTTGGGCTGCGAATGTGGTCCAATGGTAGAGAGCTTGCCTTGTATACACAAGATCCTGGATTAAAGCCCCAGCACCCACACACAAAGAAGCAGGATGTAGCCAGAAAGATGGCGTTCAAGTGTAGGGAAGCTAGACTCTCAGAAAGACAAAGACTGAAAATTATCACCCACTGCACTGATTTAGTCTTATAGGGCTATTAATTACATTAGCAAGAGTAATTTCAGTGCTGTGTGAAGTCCAATGAAAATGAATTGAGGGTGAATAGAAAGTGGGGTAGGGATAGAGTGGGTGGAAAAAACAGATGTAGAAAACAGTTCAATAGTAAGGGAGAAGAACAGTGATACTTGGAAAGAGATGTTAGGGATCAAAGATGAAACCTGAGTGCTTCCCACTCTCTTGGCCAGAACTCAAAAAACTCTTTTCTTGTCTGTCCCAGTTTGTTCCCTTCCGAGATTATGTGGACCGATCGGGGAACCAGGTGCTGAGCATGGCACGACTGGCCAAGGATGTGCTGGCTGAGATTCCTGAGCAGCTGCTGTCCTACATGCGCACCAGAGATATCCAGCCGCGGCCTCCACCCCCGGCCAACCCCAGCACAGCCTCAGCCCCAGAGCAGCCCTGAGGACTCCACACATCCAATGCTTAGCAGTCTGCTTACCTGCCCACCCACTGGAAGCTAAAGGCACCTGGAGAGAGATCTGGACCTCCCCAGAAGAGCCAGCTAGGTTGATCAGTGCTGGCTGACAAGCTTTCTGCCCCCTGACTACAGAAAGGCCTGGCATGATCACCACCTACCTGCCTCATGCCAATAATAAAGCTGATCTTACTCCATCTCTGCCTCATGGGTGTTGGAGAGGGAGACTAGGGGACCCAGGGCCTGGGGCCTCACCTAGAGGGAGGGAGCGAGGATAGCTTCAGCTAGGTTAACATCCATCCCAACACACTGATCCAGTCACTTCTATATCAAACTTCAAACAGTTTTTAAAACTTTGTGCATGTACTTTTGCATTTTTTTCCCTCAGGAGAGACCCATAGCTTTCATCAGATTCTCATAGGGGTTCTTCACCCCAAAAGAGCTGGCTTTAAGAAAATATGCAGGGGCTGGAAAGATGGCTCAGAGGTTAAGAGCATTGCCTGCTCTTCCAAAGGTCCTGAGTTCAATTCCCAGCAACCACATGGTGGCTCACAACCATCTGTAATGAGGTCTGGTGCCCTCTTCTGGCCTGCAGGCATACATACAGACAGAATATTGTATACATAATAAATAAATAAATATTTAAAAAAAAGAAAATATGCAGACTAGTGGTACAAGCCTGTAATCACAAGTTCAAGGCCAGTGTAGGCAATTTATTTGGACCTTGTCTTTAAGGGAAAAAATAGTGGTGTCACACACTTTTAATCCCAGCACTCAAGAGGCAAAGGCAAGGAGATATCTGAATTTGAGGCCAGCCTGGTCTACAGAGCAAGTTTCAGGACAGCCAGAGCTACACTGAGAAACCTTGTCTCAAAAAAGAAGAGGACGAGGAAGGAGGAGAAGGAAGAGGAGGAGGAGGAAGAGGAGGAGAGAGGAAGAAGAAGAAGAAGAAGAAGAAGAAGAAGAAGAAGAAGAAGAAGAAGAAGAAGAAGAAGAAGAAGAAGAAGCAGCAGCAGCAGCAGCAGCAGCAGCAGCAGCAGCAGCAGCAGCAGCAGCAGCAGCTGTGTAGACCAGCCTGACCTGGAACTCACAGGCAGTCCAGGCAATCCTACCACAGTCCTCTTGAACGCTGAGATTACTGCTTATTTTGAACTTTCTGGATGAGTATAATAGCTAGGGTTTTTTTTTGTTTTGCAAATACGAATCTTATACATTAGATACCTTTAGGCGATTTACAGACCTCATCTGTTTTAATCCTTACCATAACCCCGGGGGAAAAGGCACTATATATTATCCCCATTTAATAACTCAGTTACACTAAGCCATTTTTAAAAAAAGAAATTCCGGTTTTAATCCAGACCCCACGATTTAAACAAGAAACAAATTCCTGGAGTGCCGGTTTTATTGGCATTTGTTGGGGGAGAGGCGTGATATATGAAAACGTGAGCTTTAGGGTGCTGAATACCAAGCCTGCATGAAGATAAAACTGAACTTTTCAGGGACCTTAGCACTTTGGAAGACTTTTTCATACTCTTCAATGACAAAACTGTAAACACTGCTTAACAATGATGACCCCTGATGTCCCAAGTTCTCTGAAAGCCCCACGAATTGACAGTAGAATTTTCGAGTTCCGGGTTTACAAATAAGGAACCCGAAGAACTCAGCAACTTAACCACGTTCACACTGAAAGTGTCAGTCATAGTCAATGGGCTGTGTGTTTTGACACTGCCTTCCAATCAGCAACCCGTAACCTCGTTGTCTAGCACTGCCGCTTTGCCGTAAAGGACCAGGAACCTCCCCAAACTCAGTTCCCTGGCTGGTGCCACGCCTTCCCTCCGCCTCGTCGCCTTCCCGTCCCACACTACGTTTGTAGCCCCGCCCCTTGCTTCCCTAAGTCCCGCCCTTTCACCGTAGCTTTGTAGGAGTTCCTTCCCAGTCCAGTCTTCATCCCTGATTCAGCTCCACCTTTCAAGCTCACCCAAAGCTCCGCCCTTTTTTTCTTGGGACCCTCAGGCCCACTCTTCCGGCCGCTGCCGCAGCATCTAGGCGCCGCTTTCCGATGGCTCCGCCTCCTGGACACAAGCCCCACCCATGCCGGCCTATTCTTCCCGCCCCGCCCCTCCCCTGCCCATAACTGCACGCCCCTGCGGCTTCGGCGGCGTCCCTCGGGCTCCGAGCCCTGCCCCCAGCTCCGCCTCGCCCTGCGCGCCCGCCCCGCCCCGTCGCCTCCTCAGAGACCAAGGCCAGGTCCCTACCGCAGCCGTCGCGCCAGCAGGAGGGAGGGAGCAGGAGGCGGTGGCAGAGGGGGAGGGGAGAAGGGCGGGCTCCTCACACCCAGCCTCGCGCTCCCCGTTCGTGTTCGCAGATTCGCCACAAACGGCCCGAGGACCCCCCCGCTCCCCACACTGTGACTTCAATTTCCAGAAACTCCTCCTCGAACATGGAGGCACTCCCGGGACCTATGCGCTGTTCAGACGACTTTTTCAGACCCATAAGATGGTCGCTTCCGCCTCAGCGGACCGGCGGGGAGTCGTGGCGAAAGTGCGTCTTTGCAGCGCCACGGGGCCGCGTTTACCCTGGCGGACGCCGTCGCTGCTGCTGCCGCCGCTGCCACAGCCTTTGCCGCCACGGTCCTGCTGCCGCTGTTCCTGTGCCGCCTCCGGGAACCCCTTATTGTCCCGGTGGCTCCGGGTTCCAAGGCCAGAAGACCCCAGAGCTTGGGAAACGCGAGGGTGCTTGCGGAATTGCGATACTGGGGCGCCGGCGGGACCGGGAGCGGCAGGGTCAGCGCGGGAAGCCGGGCCAGAGCGTGCGGGGCAGGAGCCGGGGTGCCCAGCTCCGCGTCCCGGAGTTCGGGTTTCCCCTTCCCGGACCGTCTTCCCCGTCGGCCTCCCCGCGCGGGGTCGGAGCCCCGGCGGGCGCCCCCGGCGATGAGCCCGGACTGGAGGTGGCCGGTGAGTGCGGGCCGGGTCCGGGCGGCTGTAGCAGTGGAGAAGGGGCCACCTTGGCGAGGCGCGCTAAGCACCTCCTGGACCCCGCGGGCGGGGAGAATTGACAGGCCATTCGTTCGCGGCGAGCGTCCGCGGCGACAGTGTGTGTCCTTTGAGTCTGCCTGGGCCAGCGGCAAGAGGGAAACCTTGTTTGACTTGTTACACTTTGACGAAAAGGAAGCGGTGCAGCATCCGGGAGACCCGGCTCCGCACCACGGCCCTGGTCCCACCCCTTGTCCCCTGCTTCCTTCAGCTCCTGCAGTTCCCGGGAGTAGATGCTTCCTCCATACCTCTGGGCCCAGGGCTTTTAGAACTAAGTTCTGGTCACACCTTTGTGCCTCTGACACCAGGTCCCTGGGGACACTGTGCCAGTTTGGGAACCAGGCCAGCAAAGCCAGAGCGGCAGCGTTCACCAGGGACCCGGCTTGGAAAGAGTTGAGCTTGTTTGTGCCTGTAATTGCTTTAGTGTTTAAAGGTACAGCAGCAGGTAGGAAATAGAAGTGAGTTGGAGTTGAACGTGAAACTTGACTGACTTGGAAGTCAGAGGCTTTCGACAGAGGGACTAACCTCAAGAGGAGAGGCTGAGAGTCAGTGTTTTTCAGGGAGTCAGGCAGGCTTTGCATTGGTGGTCCCAAGCACCCTAGTTCAACTCATCCTAAGAGAAATTGGGGCAATGACTGACTAAGCTGGGCTCTCTGGGGTTTGGTGCCATCTGCTGTCTCTACTCACCCAGAAACATCAGGGTGGGGGAGGGTTAGCCCTTGAGAACCCTGGAACATAAAGCCTAGATTTTTGTGTTCCTGTTTGTGCCCTTAGGGCCTGGTACTAGGTAGGCCCTGAGTTAATGTTGCATGAATATGTAAATGAGGAAATAAGTGTAGCCTGTGCTGTTTTCCCTGGGTAAATGACTGTTGTCACATGGTTCCTCCCTATATCTCCCCACCCAGCTCCAGGGCTAGGATGAGGATTCCTGTAAAGACCTCAGCAACGCACTGATGATGCAGTCCGGTGGTTTCTGTGGGAATCCAGGACTCATCGTTGGCAATTTACATAAAGGCAATTTTTATCCTTTCGATTTGGTGGTCTTCTCATTCAGTTATTCATTCAACATTATTTTCATTTATTTGCCAAAGCTTGAGAGTTCAGTCAGTGCTTGCTAGAAACTGGGGATTTAGAAATAGATAGGTCTGGTGTCTACTGAAGATCTCTCAGTAGACTGGGAGAAGATAGAACTGGAAAATGTCACACTGGAGGTGAGACTAGAAGGCTCTGGGAATAATTTTTCCACGCAAGAGTCAAAGAAGCCATAATAAAAGTATCATTTGAACTAAGTTTTGAAGAATTTGTGGGAGCCAAGCAATCAGCATTCCTAATAAAGAGAGATTATAACACCTTTGCACCTTGAGAGATTATAACATTCAGGGAGTGGTAGGCCGCTGTGCGTGTAGACAATTACAGCTTCTGAGAAGAATCCAGAAAGGAAGACTAGAGCCAAATAGTGAAAGGAATCCCTTGAATGTTATCCTAAGAAGCTGGTGCAACGAGAGCTTTTAGTTGTGTCACTGGTATGATCACTGCTACTTGGTAGAAGATCACTCTTGTCATTTTATGTGAGACTTTCCTAAAAGAATTGAGACATAGGCAGGATGACCAAGCAGTAGGTCTTGAGGACCTGTGCCAAGACCTTGGTAAAGGAGCTGGCACTTGGAGATGCTCTAAAGAGAGGCTGGCTAGGACATGTGACCTTGTGAGAAGGGAAACTGGAGAAAGTGGGTTGTATGGTATGGAGACTGAAAGCTCTTGTCAGGCCTGTGCTAACTGATCTGTATATTCCAGATGTGACAGCATGGGGGTAGACTTTGATGTGAAGACCTTCTGCCACAACTTGCGGGCAACTAAGCCACCATATGAATGCCCTGTGGAGACCTGCCGCAAGGTTTACAAGAGTTACAGTGGTATTGAGTACCACCTATACCACTATGACCACGACAGCCCACCACCACCACAGCAGACTCCACTGCGCAAGCACAAAAAGAAAGGGCGTCAGTCACGACCAGCCAATAAGCAGTCACCCAGCCCCTCTGAGGTCTCACAGTCACCAGGCCGAGAGGTGATGAGTTATGCTCAGGCCCAGCGCATGGTAGAGGTGGACCTGCATGGCCGTGTCCACCGCATCAGCATCTTTGACAACCTGGAT